GGGGGGGAGCAGCCAAGCTGACAGGCGAACGCAAAAAAACGGGCAGGCCAGAAATGCAGTGGTAGGAGTGATTCATCCGACTGGTCGTAGAAAGAATTTCATGCCACATGCAGGGTGTTAAATAGCCCCACATACACCACTAGCACCGAAGGATGGCTTACCCATAAAATCACTCATATTCGCACTTGATTCGAGCTGGACCCTATTTTACTGACTCATCTTGCCTTGGATGTTACCCGATTTAAGTATATACCATGTGTTCTCAGTGCTTTGGTCTTTTTTTCTCCCTATAATGAATAAAGCACACCTTCAAACGGCATCCGATCAAATCGGGCAGAGCGGAGTAAGCATGTGCAAGGTGAATCATTGATTTTTTCTAACCAGCCAATCATAACATCTATTTTAGTCGGTGGTGTTAACGGGTGTGCGAATTACCACAGATTAGTTTTAGGAGACGTTTCAAGCGATGCTAAGAGGGTATTAGGCATATTACACCAGCAGCACACACCCACGTTGACCTTTCCGCCTAATCAAGAAGCACAACAGCGATCTCGTGGAGTACTTTAAGGTCTGAATTTGAAGCTTATATTGAGTGAATGTTGGCTCCTTGTCAGTCTCAAAAGTAAACGACAAGGCTTTGTAGTCAAATCGGCTGAACATCTCGATTACATGAAGTGTGCATGTGCTCAAAGCGCCGTCAAAAGTTCGAGTGGTGGGACTTCTGCGCAGTAATCCCCTGTAGATCTCACTGGGGATCAGTTACCTGTGATGACTATGATGCCGCTTTTGTTGGCTTTGTCAAGGCCCCTTAAGGGTCATCATTTCGTTTGGTCCACAGTTAAGTACACTGCACTTTACTAGCTAATGTACTATGTTATCCAAGGTTAAATTAAAATAGATTAATAACAAATGATTTTGGAGACATCTAAAACTAATTTGTAGCTTGGTTTTCCATTTAGAAGGCTTTTATTTATGACCCTAACTTTTTTTCTCTAGGGGGTGGGTTTCGTAGACAGAAATCAGGGTCACTAGGAGTCATAAGGCCAAAAACAACACGAGGTTTGTTTGATCGACGTTTGGAGGGACTGACTGTCCTAAATTGAAGGCAATGGGTGACTCGTCCACCTCCTAGCTCCACGTGCTAACATGCTGATGCCGGTTAGTGCTCAAACGGAGATTTGAAGAGGAGGTGTAGGAAACCTGACGCGATTGCAGTTAACAAATCCAACTTTATGGAGCTATCCGAAAGGAGGACTTGTTATACAGCCGTGCCTGACTCCACTGCTCTTTGAGGGGAAAACTGGCTTTCGTTGTCTGGACAGAACCAGACAACCTAGACATTTGAACGCGGCGAGGTGTCTAGACTCAACAGATTTTTGTTGATTGTTTTGGAATCCTGGTGGCTGAAATTTTGAATGGTTCATCTAGCAAAGTAACCGCCGGTTTTTATTCCAAAAATTAAGTAGATAATATTCTTTTATTGTCTTATTTTGCCCATCGCATATATTAACCTCACTTCTATCATTTTACAGCCAATAAAGGGCCTTCGCGAACATTCCCCGACTGAACGCATAAATATTCTCACCATTTGTCCACTAAATGCTTCAGGAGGCACTGGACTTACATTCGCAGTGAAGGCTTGGAGGTCTTCGAAGAGCTTTGTTTTCAGCTGCACACACCCACCTACTAAAAGGGATACACAGCAGTGGTGCTAGAGGGTGTCCAAAATTCAGGCGCCCCCTCCCTTTCAGAAGGCATGCCGGATGTGCGGGTATGTCATTTAACTGGAACTGTAGCCACCGCCTCACTTCACTTAGGTGTGTCTAGACGCACACACACACACATGTACACTTGTTCGAGTTTCCGCCTCGAGGCACAGATATAAGCCGCCTTCTGGGTAACGAAGTAACCAACCCGTGCTTTTGTGATCTCACGTTGCGATACCACCGTCCCCTAAAGTGCATCTCGTCACTCTGGTGAGAGAGAGAGAGAGAGAGAGAGAGAGAGCGAGGGCTGTAATCACGATTTACCAGCTAGGTGTGGTTGCGCGGTGCGGTGGCAAGAAAAATCGATACGTGAACTTCACCACCGCGCACCACCAAGGCAGCGACCGAACCTCAGAGTTCACATGTCAAGGCGAGCCTTAGTTGTGATAGGGGTGGGGGAGGGAAGGCGAAAAAGTGCAGGCAATTAGCATAAAGGGAGGAGGAGGGAGAAGGTGGTGCTCTGCAAAATCCGGCTGTAAATAAGGTCATTTGATGCATGATAATTTGCCGTAGTGGCGCTAGTTGCCCTCCTCCTCCTCTTCTTAATTGCACACAGACCTTGAAAGAAAAGAGCATACCCACTTGATGCATAAAAACAGACATTAAATCAATAGGGGGGAATTGAGAAGGTAAGTTACTTCACTTTACTTGACTTGGTAAACACTTCTTAGCCTCAGCCTAGCCCAGAAGACAAAACAGCGAGACAGCACCGTCAGACTTAGTATTTGGATGAGTTTTGGACAACTCCAGAAGAGAAGCAGTGGTTTCATGGCCAAATAAATTTAACTGACAAAATAAAAGTACGCGGAGGTTACAAATTCAGTCGATTTTAGATCTGGATAAGTAGAATAAAATAAAAAAAGAAGTAAATGCAGGGAAATTTGCGCAACATGGTTAAGGAAATTCGTTCCAAAAATCAAGGTAATGGTAAATGATGGAAAATCGATGAGAGACACTGATCAGCTTTTGCATCAGCTGACTAGATGCAAAAAATCGATAGAAAAGTTGTGATTGGTCGATATAGCGAATCTGGGCAGTTCTAATTGGTTAAATTGGAAATGCAGAAAAAATTGTTTAAAAAGCAAATGCTTTTAACTTTCAGTCGTGAATCGCCTAGATGTTTAGCAAGAACAGCTCAAAAGTTCAACCCGAGGATCACTGGGCAGGTCAGGTGAAAGCATTCAGGCGTCCTCGACGATCTCTTTCTCAGCAAGATTGTCCGACTATCCAGGACATGACACGAGTTGTGAAAAAAAAAAACAAAATTCGCGGATGTGGATGAGGTTAATAATGAGGTGACTAGAGAAGCAAACTCCTGCATTCCTACCTGTGCTAGTGACTTCCATCTGTTTTTTACCCAAGGTCATCTGAGGGGCTGGATTAAGTGCTGCCTCGTTTGTTCGACAAAGTTAAAATATTGTGGCTTATTGCAACTGGTGTAAACCTGTAAAATGAAACTATTTGCAGTCAGGCATTACAAAACGCGGATGAAATGTGCCAATCTGTTGGTAGTCTCCACTTTGTCCTACATCGTTTCCTATGAATGCTGGAGCCTCAGAATATGCCTGTTGAATCACATCATTGATTCCCGTAATGATGATGGTGGAGATAACTGGTTTACACCTGAATTATCCAGGGGGAGAAAAGTTGAATTGCAGCGGATGCTAAGTGGATGGATGCCACCCATCTGCCAACACTGACAGCTAACAGACAAAGTGCTTCTAAGACGTCTAATTTGTTTTTCACTTCTTTTAACCCGCTCCATATAAACGCGTGGTGCATTGCAAACTGACCGACCGACTGGCTGACCTGTGATGAGAAGTGGATTTTGTACCACAAAGCGAAGCCAACAAACATACCACTGATTGGGTTCAAACCACACACAACCACTTCTGAGACCATTGACAGACGTCTCGTCACTCCCAAAACACTATCTGTCTGGCAGTAGCGCTGGTGGTGGCGGCGAGCTGCAAACACAATTATCCACTGTAAATTTCCTTCTAATCGCCAAACAACTAGAGATTGAAGTCCATCCACCCTGCGGAACGCAATACAACTCGTCAATGTGGAGGAATAACTTCTTTTCTCCCTCAGTCCCTCGTATTTCCCAGTCATTTCGTAGGCCTTAGACAACCACGCGGGATATAGACAATGGGTAGGCGTTAAAAGGAGGGTTTGATAGGTCTCAGTTTGGTTTAGGCTTTTTGAATGGAATTCGCTAAAAGGTTGTCTCCTAGGGGAAAAAGTAGAATGGAGATTTTGGCATTGATTATTACAACCAGCAGTGGTTTAATATCTTCCTCCACTTACTTGGCTACCTTTTCGATAGTATTAGCCCTCAACGGAAAATGGAGAGACCTTGGAGCAAGTAAATTTTCTTGACAAAAGTACAACCTCAGGGGATCTTGAGAAGAAATCGATATGATCATGAGGGTCACAAGTTTGATTGAGCTGATCGGTCACATTAAAAGCCACTGCGATCAAATTCCTATTAATCGCTACTGGCAGACTAGATAGGGGGACACAACATGACCCAAGGAGCCCTGACCACCACCTAGAGGTAAGTTCAACTTGATAAGACAGACAGACCACGGGCGTAAACATGACCAGTCTGCTGACTTATGGAAATGGTCGGTGACGAAGGAGGGATTAAAAACCCTTCTTAAGGACAGATTTAGCCCATTGCGAAAGACAATTTCACTCCTAACAGCAGACCGAGTCTAACTTTAGCTACATAAGGGGCTCCTCAACTGCATATGTACACTCCTGGTTCTCACTTGGATCTACCGACCGCCATAGTACTACTACTTCAGGCGATACAAAAAGTGTTTTGGCACAGAGGGAAAAGAGGGCGATGAGATAAAGGGAATAAAGTTGAGACCCCACTGGTTGAGTGGATCACGGAGAAGAAATCAACAGCGGGGACGGCGGTCCAACAAGCCTCTTTTGGTTACTCGATCAAATCAGTTTCAGGTTTAGTCGACATTAAGGCAAGTCTTCCTATTCTAACAGTGGGACTCGTCAGCTTTCAGCTACGACAGTTCCAATTCTTATCTAATTACTGCGAGGGTGTTGGATTAAACGACTTCGGAAGTACGATACGCATCAGACGAAAGACAACACAAGCCCGACTCACCAGTCCTTCAAGACAAAGACGAGCAAGAGTTGGATAAAGACCAATTATCTTTTGCAGGATCGTTTAAAATATTGTATAGTATGCAGTAGTTTGTTAAATAGATAGGTATTATACATGGGAGTAAGTGAATGAATGAAAATGATAGCGACAGACGGAGAGAGAAAAGGGGGAGAGAGTACGAAGACAATCGTTAGTAGCAGCGGCATTCTCATTAGTCCGTGGCGCTTTCTCGACAAATGGTAAGATAGACAGAGACAGACAAGGAACGAGGGGGAGGGGGGGGTGATAGATCGAGGGTTGAATTCGGCACAAATGCATTTGGTGGCGAGGTCGGATCGGCAAGAGACGAAGGTGTGGGATGTTAACCGGGATGTGGCGGAAGAATACCCGTCACTTCAAGACGCCGAGGAGGAGGAGGAGGAGGGAGGATCCGAGGCTGGCACAAACAGACCCGAGAGCCTATCGATAGAGAAGAGGCAGTGCAGACCCTCCGGATTGATTGACTGCATCTCATTCATAAGGAGGACCACGTTGTTGAAGAGCGAGACGTCACCGGAGCAACGGTGACAGCACTGGCGCAACTCATCGATCGCAGTGGAGTAGGATACGGGGTAGTAGTCCGGAAAGGCATCTAAAAGGCAAAAAAACATGCCTTCCTGATTGGTCAAGGGAAGGTATTAGTCAGTGGTATAGAAGTGGCAAAAACAAGAATCCGACCCATCTTCGTCTGATGTACGGGGGAAAAGCAGATGTTTCGGGGTTAGTCGGGAACAGGAATGAACAGAAGTATTCCCAACGGATTTCGCCATCCCCTTGCCGTCCCCAACGCTACTCGACCTCAGCCCGTTCATTGAGTGAACAGGCGTAACTAGCCACGGAACAGATCAGAAGGCGTGAAATGAGAACATAAGGACTGCTAAACACCTTGAGGCAAACTTCAAGAAGTGTCAAAACGGGATAGATCTGGGCTTAATCTCCTTAAGTAGATCATTTGTGAGGGCTGCTGCCAGGTCTCTCCTTCAACATTATGTCTCTGGTTAGTTCCCATGTTCATCCATCCATCAAATAGATCAATGCTTAAAAGCGTCCATCACTGGAAGCTTCAAGGAACCTCCCCATTACTCTTCAAACCCTTGCACATTCAAATCAAGTGGAGGTGGAGGACATCCAAATATCCGGTTACCTTCCTTGCCTGTGAAAGACGGACGGACTATTTGCCCTCTTCTGTTACCACTCCTTCCAGCTCATTAGCATGCACACTTTCGATGTCGGAACCGCCTGACGGAATGGCACCTTCTGCGCAAATCATCTTTCAACGCATCGTTTACTGAAATCTGGGGCTGCTATTTTAAAGTCGGATCGGTTAAAGACAGACTCACATTTGGAAACAATGAGAGGAGTTAGCTCTGGGCCGAACTACTTAGACTTTCGTGATAATCATGAGCGAGGAGGGTTAAAGAGAAACGTTTCAGAGATAGTTAAGTGACAGTCTACAATTCATAATATCCCGAGTTCCTTTTACAGCCTTGCATGCCGAATTTTCAACAAACTGCCTTCACCTGACATCCCGAAACAGGGCAGTCTTTTAGCAAACAAAGGCTTCCTCTCAAAGAGCAGTTGGTTTTCAGTGTTTCAACTGGAGGAATTTCGTTAGTATTCTACGATCATTGGCACCTACACTTTAGGCCATCCAAAGGTTGGACGAGGTCAAAGAGACATTCCAAAAAGTATCGAATGGAAGCTATTTAGCATAGGTGACCGAGTAAGTGCACCACAACTACTAGGAAGTCGTTTCCATATATAATCGGCAATGGAGTATTCCCTCGGTGTCGAGTAACTCCAGAGACGGTCCAAGTATACGACAAGCATCGAGCGTGAACACAATCAGCCAGCAAAGGCCAACATCGGATAGAGCCCTTACTAAAAGCTGTATGGAGTGCTTTCAAAGTCCCGGTCGGTCGAAAAGAGAAGGAGCTACCCGTCGTGTGCCCGTGATGCATAGGGAAACACCATTCTCCTTCGTAATCCACATTCGGATCACAACAACAATGAAAGATAGGCGATGCTTCAAGCTACTTTCCGACGCTTGCTCGCTCGTTTATTCCAAGCGGAAGCCGGGTGGATTGATTCAGAGTTCCACATGACTGAATGGAGCTTTTAGTCTGGACAGTACCCACGCCAAATTTGGAGTAATCTGAGGCAGGATAATGAGTACCCGAGAGACGGTTGACAGAAGTTGGACATGTGGATGGATGGATGGATAGGGGATAGAAGGCAAATTGATCTGCGAGGGATTTACAGATGGACGAACCTACTCTATTTCCATAGAAACTACTTTTAGCTTGTCATTACCATTCATCAGGACAAAACTGCTCACTCATGCTCTCGCAGTAGACTTGCTTTTAACTTATCCACTGATCTAGCTTATTCGTCATGCTCTGGCTGAAGGTAAATCACATCAAACCAGGAATGGGTAGATGGACAGACGGTCGATGAGTAGGGTGGACTAACCCACCACCCACAGCAGCCACCTCCAGCTACCAATAGCATTCATCGTCCCATTGTCTCATCTCAGTACCTGGACTCTAAAACCACCCACCAAACCTAAGAAAATCGTCAACCTGGAGCCACACTTCGATCCTTCATTGATAGTTTTAGCTCCGCATCTGCTGCAGTTGCTTCCAGGGCACGACAATTTAGACTATTCTATCACAGAACAGTCAGAAGGTCCATTGGAACGGCAAAATCGGGGTGAAAGGAGGTCTCGAAAAGGTGGTGATAGCGAAATCGTCATTCCCTATGCATGCGTGCACACACACAAAGACAAAAACACGGGCGCATAAGGGACTTACCCACCTATAATAACTCCACGCGAACTAAAAAGTACGTCGTTGTATACGTGTGGGTGCATGCACATACATACACACATTCCCAGTAAACACACACACACACACACGCATGCAAGACCCGCGAATGCCAGCCCTATTGATCGTGTCAAGGGTGCCTCGGCCACCGACTAGCCCAATCCCTCCTCCTCCTGCTTGCCCTTTCGATGTCTCATCTATTCACTCATTGTCGCTTCTACTGTCAACTCGTTTGGTCCCCTACTCCTCCTCTTGACTTCGATCTCGCACCTCCTAGCCTAGCCTTACCGCTGAACCGCGGTGTCCAATGTGCGAAATCACGCGAGACGGCCGCTAGGAGGCCGTCGTCGACATCGTCCATGCCTGTGTGGGCAGGTAAAGTCAGCCAGCACCCACCTGAACTGAAAGTGAATCGTTGTTCTAGCGACAACAAAAAACAACCTCCCACACTTGTTGCTCAGCTTAATGACGATATTGGGATTTAAGAATGATGACAAGGAATTGGGCCGGTAAAAAGGCGGCTGAGATTCATGTAGCCGCAACTTAAATTGCTCGAAAAGGTATGCTCTGAAGCTACTTACGATCTACCGACCCTTATGCAAAACCAGGCCCCTCGCCAATTCCATAGAGGTTTACAGAAGACGATAAAAACTTGACGATGGAGTAGGGTGTCATATCTCCATCCCCGCACTCCATTTGGGGTCGGAAAGAGACTTCGCTTCTTCCGTCAATGCCTTTTCCTGAAGCCAAGGGCAACGTGATAATGGAGGGGATGCTTGACACCGATGCTATAATTATTGCAAAAGGGAAAGTTTGAGCTTGGATCTGAATTTTGGAGGCGAACAGCAGTAATGAGTCCTTGTGAATCGTTCAAGCCGATTTGACCTCGACGAAACTCATTTCACGGTTAAGGACATTTACAGAGGATAGAAATGACTGGGCATTCCAATGGTCCGCTTTGTCGTCATATGGGCCAGCCTAAATTTCCTCGCGAGGACACATTTAAGGGAGCAACAAAATCCTGACTATGGAAACAGACTCCACCATTCCAATCTTCCATGACGGTAAAACGCACTACACTGCATTTTCACCTTTCAGCTTGCATCCAGACCCTTTTGGACTGGGCAAAAGTCCTGGATTCCTCTTTCTTTAAAGCCAACAACTAACTCGGCAGGGAAAAACGGGTTCAAATTACCCCGATTTCCAACTACTTTTTTGAGGAAGCTGTCTGAAGCCGACAGTTACCCCGATACTCCAACGTGATTTCAGGTTTAAAAAGAGACCTTCGTCGAGATTCTTCAAATTGAATGACAGCAGTCTACCTGGCTCCACATGACGAGGAAAAATGAAACTAATTCTGGAATGGGAAATAAGGGAGGCTGCTATTTCGGCAAATATCCTTTCTATGAATAAAACCTGTCCGTTTCTTGGCATTTAAAGTCTGAACCCGAAGAAACTTCCCAGCCTTTCCGTAAACAACTTCTCTTTGAAGTCAATGATGGGGACTTAAGTTAAAAAACACCTAATTCTCACTCAAATCGACCCACAATTTGGGGACTTCAAAGAGTTGCCCTTGAAACAAATGCCGACGATCTGAAAGCCAAGAAACTTCCCATCTCAAGACTAAAGAGACTCTATGGAGGACTCGTACTAAAGGAGCGCAAAAACAGACTCCGAAGTCTTCATCTCATTCCATCGAGAAATTCTTTGCAGTGAACTACATCCATTCACACGGATCAAGGGGGCTGCTTCCACAAAAAATCTTCTGGACTAAAAAGACTGGAACAGAACACCTGCATCTTCATCATCAGAGAGCCATTCAAGGAATCTAATCCACATTTACATTTCGTCCCCCCTTTCCCAATGATGTCAAGACAAATTTTTTTTCGATGAGGGGTACCGAGGGGGTCCCCGTTGTCCCACCATCAGAAAAATATAAAAAAACAAAGATGATTCCCCTCTCTCCTACGCATTTCTTGATGGAATTCACCTCTCACGATGATAAAAAGGAAATATAGGATATTTTTGAAGCCCATTTGTCGTTTCCCCAATCGAAATTGTGGGAGGGCGCTAAGAGGAAAGCGTGGAGGAAGCACTCTAATCGGGGGAAAGTTAATCGAGACTTACGCTGGGCGAAGATGCACTTCCTCACACACTCAAAAACCTGAGTGTCAAGGAAGAGCTGATTTCCCGCCTTGATGAGATTCTTCAGCGAATCGGCGGTTCCCGCCTTGGCGATATTTAACTCCACACCGCTTACAACACCACCACCACCACCCTCCCGTCCACCGGTAGCGCCAATCAGGGAACTCAATTCTGTTGTGGGAATAGGCGTGGTGGAGAACGAGAAGTTCTCCCTAATCATGGAAGCCAACAAGAGTTGAGGCCATATACGGTGGAGAACGGCTTTCAAGCCCATTCCCACTCTCGGCATCTCCAACCGCATATCAATCTGATGCGCCATGCTTAGCTCCGCCTCAGAGCACCGACAGTAGCGATAGGTTGCAGCCGTCGCTAGCAGCGAGTTCTCGGGCATAATCGGCGCCGGACACATTTGCATTGCCCAGTTGTTGGCTACAAGCATCCACTCGGCCACCCGACGACACAAGAGGAGTCGGTTGACATGAGCCAACCGGATCGGCAACTTGGCTTCTTGACTGACTGACGGACGAGATATTGATTGAACCACGGCGCCCGTAGTGTCAGGGAGGCGAAATAGTTGTTGTAACGCGGCCATTTGATTGGGTGACCACTGGAGGATGTCGTCGCTGGTGAGGGAGAGTGAAATTGGAGGTGGGATAGGTGGTGGCGGTGGTGGTGGAGGAAGTTGTCTAGAGACTTCTTTCCGACTGAGATTCAACATCTGCTCGTCCCGAATGCCCTGGAAGAACTGGGAGGAGTTGAGAGCTGTCGCGGCAAGAATGGAGGCCACGGAATCCGAAGACACAGTGACGGGAGCCTTAGTGAAATTGAGCATCTCCAGGTCCGGGTGATGACGATGAGGAGGATGTTGTAAGTGATGCTTAGATCCATTTCCAGGGAGGGGCTGGCTTACACGAGCCACGGAAGAGGGACTTGCACCTGTGCTACCCTTCAGGGTTGTGGCATATGACCAAGGAAACACAGATGTGGTGGTATTAGCCCGCGGGTGGATGGTATTTGTTCCACCGCTGTAAGGTGGAGTGGATTCAAGAAGCTGGCTTAGGGGAGACGTTATATCGCAGGACTTATCACCGGGTTCTCCACGTCTTAGGTCGCCACTTTTAGGAGTGGTAGATGTTTTCTCCGCCTTGAGGCCACCACTGGGGGAGTCAAAAGAGTCCAACCGAAATCGGTTCAGATGGTACTTCCCCTCGGTGAACATTCTGATGGCATTATCCAACTCCGAAGTGGTTCTTGCCCGTGGACGCATAGGAAAAACTTCGGTTGGATCCACACATGAAGTGCTAGCAACAGTAGGAGGACTCAGGCTATGTGAGGGGGATTGACAGATTGGACTCTTCAACCGCCAGCGTTTCGACGGTTTGCCTGGAAACTTGGAAGTCGACCTTTCGGTTATGTCGAGGGGCGTGTTAACGATGTTAGTACCGGGATTGCTGTTGCCATTAGTGACGTCAGATGAAGAGGAAGCAGGGGTGGCGTAGGGCGGGTGATCTTCAGGATCACGAGATTCAACTTTGATGGGAACCAGAGGGGAACTGTTTCCGCTCTTATTTCCATCAACTCCATGTTCCTTCAAACGCTTGCAAGGACGCTGTTCCTCCTCCTCATGATCAGAGGTCCGTCGTGGCAGAGTAAGATGACTGAACATAGTGGAACGTCGTCGACGCTTGTCGTCGGAATTGGGGTCAGGCGTACAAGACCTGTAGCGCGAGGAAGCAGTGGACATAGAGGAAGTTCGGCGCAGGGAAAAGTTACTGTCCACCAGAACGCTGTGATTGCGAACACTGGCTAGATCAGCACCGGCGAGAATTTTCCGTAAGAGGGTGTTGTCTGCGTTCGGGAGAGTTCCTGTCGTAATTGTCGATGATGTAGTCGTGGTGGCCGCCTCGGAATCAATTAGGGCGCTATTGCTCTCTGTGTCTCGCATCGTCGTCACTGTCGCAGACCCCGATGCTAGCACAGAAGACGATGTGACACCCGCCGTGGACGTGGAGGGACAGTCACCGTCTCTGCGTCTTTTTCGACGGCTGGGCGGAAAAATGGTGGCCTGAAGGAGGGAATGCGAGACAGCGGAGGCGGAGGAGGGGGCAGGGGAGGAGGCGGAAGGAGAAATGGCCGGCGACGACGAGACAACAGCTAGGTCCTTCGGCACCGTGCACATGCGACTATTCTGATGAATGAATGAATGACTGAATGAATGAATGAATGGCGAAGACGGTATGCACGCGCGCGTGCGCACGCGTCATCCATCCGCGCCTATGAAATATAAAGGCTCCTACGTTAGCGCATGTGCGCACGTACGTGTGCACGCACGTATGCGTGCGCACAGCTATTAGACATACGCACACGCCAGTTTGAAGGCCACCTTACGGCCTTGACGAGCATATGGGCGGAGGAGTTGTCCTATTCGTCGGTGTGGCATGCAGTGCGCACGTGCGTGTGTGCATGCGTGCACAGGCATGCAAATGCGGGAGACAGCCGTGACGATGACGTTCCAAGGTCGCAGCGTGATGATTGGTGGGGTTGGTAGCATCGAGTATGTACCGCCGTCTCCTTTCTTGTCTCCTGATTGCTTTTCATGCCCATCCTCGGCCGCCCATCATGTCGAATATTTTTCCTTTTTAGGGGGAAAATTCTGGGCAAATTTCTCTCAATCAATCATTTTTTTGAAAATAATTGAAAGGTCTAAGCCGTCTATGCCTTCCCCACTGAGAGCACTAAGGTCTCCCAAAAACCACCGTGATCTATGGTTAAGATAATTAAAAGTTGAGGAGAGATGCTACCAGCAGAGAGCGACTCACTAAAAGTGGTGAGTACACACCCACATTTGGTAAACACACACTTGCACATACGGACCACGTGATGCGTGTGTGTTTGTGTCGGCAACGCCTTTTGTAAATGCACTTTGGACTTCAAGGCCACGACATTTGACCTCTAGGCTAGTCAATCACACACGCACATGTCCGTCCCAAAGTCATACCACGTGAGTCGAATAGACCAGTAACCTTTGGCCTTAAGCCAGAACATCAAAATTTCAGTGACCAAACCTGTTCCAATGTTCAAGTTATGCTGGCAGTCACATCGTCATGTCAGCACCTAGTAATTTTATTCTGGTACTAAATACAGAGGAATAGGGAAATTTCGCACTCGATTAGCTTGTGAAATGGCATCCTTGGGGGTTGTTTTACTGATCCATTGCCACTGTTTATATCAAGCGAGAGCAGAAACTGTCTTCCACCAATCCTGGTCCAAGCTCTGCGAACAACTCTACGATATCGATTTATCAGCTGTGCGAGCTGTGACTACACCTGATGGGCTTGGTGAGCCACAGAAACCCAGTTCCTGGGGCGGAAGTGGATTGCATTTGTCGGCTGCGCGTCGTTCACTAAAAGGCCAACGATTTTGCCGCGTAGAAATTGCGCTCACTTGCCTAACAATTGCCTTCTCGAAGCCTACTTATTTTAAGCTGGAATTGTACTCAACTTGGAATTCGTAAGGTCGCTAAGAATCGAAAATACCTCTTTTTTAACTGAGCAGATTAAGATTTTGTGCACGTGTTAAACATCAAATTGTTTATTTCTGCGTTTTTAGTTATCCTGAAGATGATTTTTATCTTTGTCACAACCTGTTTCATTGTCGTTTTTCTGGGAATTTGTCCCATTGTTTAATTTAATTCCGTTCTGTGTAATTATTTTAATAAAAGTCAGCCACGTTGGACGCGACCTTTATAAAAGCGGCGGGTGCGTTTAAGCATCCCTCCATCAGCTCGGCCCTCCTGACACCGTCTATCCACCTCACACTGCCTAAATCAGCAGTAGTAGCGGTCAATATGGTTTCTGTTCCGCGGATGTAGGACCTTAGCATTTTACAGCCACCAATACTTCGCTTTCGCCAAAGACTAACACATTTTTGAATGCGTTATGTGCAGAATTCTCCATTTATTTGAGTGAACCAAACATTTACCCCACCCAGCTTACTATTCCGTAAAGCGTAACAGATTGAAGAGTTTCTGGACTGTAAGGCTATGCGGAAAATTCAAATTCCGTAGCGCAACAATTGATTGCAGCCGTGCTAGTGATCCGAGGTGTTAGATGGATGGAAGTGCGATTTCGCCAACCATAAACAAAGCGCAGACACTGGTGCGAAATTTGCAAGTGTGCGACAGAGTCTGACTACATATTCGTAAAAAAAAGAAACCTACTAAACGCGCACAAAAACAGGGTAGTGCACACGCTAGCAAGCGGAATTCGTGGTAGAGCTAATGTGAGAGAGATAATTAAAAGTTCACAACGCACTGGCTGCACACCATCATGGAGGCGGCCCACTGCTCCACTGAGAATGCAAAGACTGCCGCTTTTTTTTGTCAAGGGAAAAGTAGGGAGAATTGGCGGCGGCATGGTCTGCCTCCTGTTCAGTCGACTAATCAGGGAGCAGGCTCAAGGTCAACCTTGATAGTCCGTTTAGTTGTGCATTTGTGGAAGCCGTCTGGTCGTAAATGGGTCAGATTAGGTCTCAGACGTCCTCATGCTACACGTACAACCAGACACGTGTTTCAGTGAAGTTGAAATAGAGTTGATTGAATAATGTTATCTACTCATTTTGAATGGCAAAAAAAACCAAATTTCATGGTTTGAAGGGATGAAAAACAACTTGAGATGTGTTATAATGTGATATTCCTAATTGATCCTTTGATGGATTCCAGTTGGAGGCATCGATTCTCGGATTTTGGTTGATCAAACTTACATGTAGTTGATTCCTAACTTGGCTGAACAGTTTCTTCTTTAATTAACCTAGCATCTCTCCCTCCTCCTTTGATAAAATAGATAACTGAACCCAAATGACGCTATCACAGTGAAATATTGTTTAGTCAAAGTAAAGCACTATCATTGTTATTTTTTGCTGTTATTATGCATTTTTAATATTATCGTCTGGTTTCATGCATATTTCGCGGGTTTATTGCATTCAATCATCCGAAGGGTTAAAATACACTTTTAAATTTCTTTTTTTTTGTTTCACCGGCACATTTGAAGTGGGCATCAAAGCGTCTACCACTAAGGGGTAAAAAGAATACTCAAACGAGAAAGTAAGTGCTTGCCCATTGTATCATCGCTTATGCTTGTTCTACCATCACGTTTTGCTGTTAACATATCATGGCGATAATGAGGCCTGCCTCTGACGTCCCCTCGTCTGTGGTCAAAGGGACTGGTGACGATACTGATCACGATGGTAGTGGTTTGGGGGTGAGATCGGGGGGGGGGGGTGAAAGGCACTGCTCCAGTTTGGCAAGCGTATTCAGCTGTCGTCACTCTGAAGGAAGGCAGTACACACACGCAATTGCACCTAGCTGACAGCACTCGAAGAAGAAAAATAATAAACACGCATACATGTGCACGCCTCTAGGTAACTTCGACCTGGCTTCCCTGCCTACCACGTAGGTGTTAGGAGGCTAACCATACCGATTAGGTGAGGCTAATAAGGTAGGTTATTTCATCACGATGAAAGACCAGCTTTCACGTATCAGCTTTAAAGCATTAACAAAGTTTCAGTTAAACAAACCCGAGATCAGGAACGCGCAAGCTTAAAATTTGGTCGGAAATCGAACCTTGTGTCGGGGCAATTTATAAAAATCTGAAAAAAGAGCAGTAACAGGAACATGGCCTCAATTACTCGGGTGAAATAAAACTGCTCTAAATCTGGTTTTCGGCCGGTTTTTGTATGATCATCCGTTTTAAATGCAAAAATGCTCCCTTACAGCTACGTCGTTGGAATGCTTAGGCGTTAAAAGAATACTGAACTCTGAGGCTGTTGCTGGCCCTGTCAAATGACTTCATGGAGCGCCGATTGTGTTGACATGTGAACACAGAATTGACACAGCAGAATGTGATCTGTTTGAATTCAGTAGAGCCAATTAAAACAGGCTCAACGCTGACGGTAGCGATCTCCATCCCCCCGTTTACACGTCTAAGGGCTGTTCAAGTCCAGCCGAGACTCTTGAGCATTCCCATTTGCCATTGAAGACCGTGCTGCCATGGCGTCACTACAGACAGCGGTAAGTGTCATTTATGCTCTACTGCTACTACCCTTGATAGCACGTTCACATGTCCAACCGTACCGTACCGAACCGAACCGAACCGTGGATCTGTTTAATCCAGGCACCTCTAATTAAGGTGCCAGGCCACGGTTCGTGCTAGTAATTGGACGTACATCCGCCAACGCGTGTGGTAATGAACCAAATCTCCTCTGTAGGAAAGCTTGGGAAGCTCAACCACCCGACTGAGACCGCAAGTACACATCGCCTGAGCGATGGTAGATGGGCCGCTAAGCTGCTCAGGTAATCAGCTTTACGACCACCCAACTTTGAGACACATTTGATTGAACGATGAAAGGTGACAGGTCAGACACCGGTTAGTGTCGACAGCTCTTGTGAACTCTTAGCGAGGGCGCGGAATGCTCACTGCTGGACTACTGGTGGATGTACATTCTGTCATAAATTATGCAAGAATCAAAATTTCACCGTGAATACAGATTTACAACTTTGAAATTGTGTCAAGACAGACAGCCTGTCCCAGCTTGGAGCATCTTCTCAGGAATTCACTTGATGTTTGGAGCTAACACTACTTTTATTCCTGGCTCTCATGGAGTTTCTTCCAGATTCGTACGCCTTGTGGTGTCTAGAGCACCGGTTACGCAGACTTTTCCAGTCCTCCGCGAATTGGCCTTGACAGTGTTGTCGCGAGACCCTCTTCCTACCACACTTTGTTTACTGATGTCCCAGTTCCCCCCGTGCCATACCGCATTGTTCTCGAGTACTGCATCGGATGCTACAGGTAAGGGGGGGGGGGAGGGGAGGGAATGGGATAATGTTAGCTATACACTGAGTCACGTGACCCCACTTCCAGTCTTGTTGATTGCGCATCCATTGGTCAGTCTTCGACGTGGTGGAAGTGTGGATGGGTCAATGGTTTACCTCAATGCAGTTCAGCGGGCGTGCCTGCGTGGATATCCTTTGATCAGTAGTGAAGATAGTGATGGGTACCGCAGGATTTATGCACCAAAATGTCCCTCTAATGCATATGCGTGCACACGCGCCCACGCAAACACTCTACGAACGCAAAATGTTCGGAGGCATTTTGTTCCAGAGAAGGTGTACCGAGGAAGCCAAACAATGCACCTAAGTGTACTTGGGCCTTCGAAAAGGTGGTAATGGCAGTTGTAATGGTAACTCGGATTTGCATCTGAGGCAAACCAATCACGACTTTCAGTGGCCGAAAAAAATCGATAAAAGCGGAGGTCAGGCCGATTATTCCGGCAATGAGAAGTACATAACTCGAGTTAGCTGACCTGAGGAAGGGACCATCGAGAGAAAGATCAAAGGAATTGCCGATAAATCGACCTAGCTACTTTCATTAAAATGCCTTATGGAATTTTACTTTGATATGCGATATATTCCAGGCATTTCTTATGCGAGATTTAGAATCACCAGGCGGCTAAGGGTCGGTGGCACCGAAATCACTAGCTTTGTACATTCCGTTTCAAGTGAACGACAGATAATCAGATAAAAAATGAGGAGAACAAAACGAAATTGCAATGACAACCGAGGGATATGCCTCTCGTTGCTTCCTGTTCTGATTGGTGGATCAGTGGCCAATAAGATTGCGCTCAAGCGGGATTGACAAGCGCTCTCCCAACTCGATCTTTATCTTAGCAATTTTAGCATTATATTTGGCATATTTTACATCTCCAGCCATGGGGGTGATTTAGTAGCTTCAGTGACCACCTTGTGCCAACATGGTTAAACGCACGGTGGCACACCATTATTTTGGCCTCTCTCCCGGAAGGCAGATACACTCACACACGCACAACGAACTCTCACGTGATAAATTAAAAACTGCCGGCCAGCAGACACAGACCCCACTATCACCCCCTCTGTCATGGACACTTGCCTATAACTCAATGTTTCCGCTTAAATCGACCACGAGTGTGTGCGCGTGCTGGCCGGTGGAAAAAAAAGATGGCTAGGTGCATCATGCGTCCCCAGAAGACGGTCTCTTGTCCGCATCAGCCAACAATTCTGCACACACACACAGACACCAACCTGAAGACGACCTAAAAAACACATGGGAAATAAACGTTCGCTTCAACACCTAGAAATCACCTATTCTGGAAAGGGAGTCATTTCCATCTACAAATGTTTTGAAGTCCATCCTTCTGTCAAATTCATGCTTCACAATACATGATCTTTTGGATTAAAAGGGGACCATCGTGTTTACTATATCTTAGCCAAGTAGAAGCACTTCCTTCCGTCCCCCTTAAACAATAGCCACTGTCTGAGTGCTCCACATGGCATCACGTGACATCACCTCAGCCAGTTGATTGGGTGTAGGTGCATGCGGACGCGTAAGGTGTATGGGGGAGTAACCATGCTTCAACTGGCCCCGTTATCATCCAGGCGGTGTTTACCATCCAGACTTTGGAGATGGGCGGAATATGTGTCAGGGCTTCCCTAAGCGCCTTACTGGACTGCCTGCTGTCTCCCACTTTATCGTCCCGCTTTGATTAAACAAACGGGTGGAAAGGTGAAAGCTGAAGTCATTTGAAAAATAGCGTCTTTTAGCCCTAATTACGCGCGCTAAAAGACATGGAAATCATGGCGGTGACCGGCCTCGGTGCCATGCCCACCCTGACTGTGGTCTGTAATCGGCTGTTAAAAATTGATACAAGTCCCTCGACCTCGGTCCCACCGACGGGAAGCGGCCACCGAACTACAGGCACTATTTACAGCTTTCGGTGAGCGGCCCAGCTTATGGACGGCACGTGAATGCACGCGGTCATAGCAACGTCAGGTGATTAATGTGGAGAGTAGTGGGGAGGCTAACAAAGCACCCACCTAAACCACTTAAGCATCCCTTTCTTCAAGTTGTGGCTGGGCTGCCAACTGCATTCCCCAGTGCTTGGAAAGGCGGTCGTGGGCGAATGAAAGTAGACTAACTGGCCTGGCGGTGGAGGGGTGGGGAAAGAGGGCTGCAGACGGGGCCAATAGAACTGCACCCTGGAGGGCTATTTTTAACCGGGAAATTATGGACGTCCCAGTCCACTTAATGATAATTGTGGCGCTAGCTAGCAGCCGTCTGCTACTGCAGCCCTGCCTGACGCATAAAAGTGTACAGGTCTGGAAGAAGACAAGCCCCTACCCAGCCCCCATTTTATGGGCGGTTTTTGGGCATCAGACAGCTTTAGAAAGCCACCCTGTTACTGAAATTAGGGTGGAAAGGAATCGTGGAGGGTGTGAAATGATCCACTGAAACCCAAAATCATTATCTTGGGGCCTTTCAACAAGGTTTTCATTCCTGCACTTATTGGGAATTCCATGTTTAGTGGGGTCCACCCGCCAAACAGAATGGTTGTCAATTCTGGCCCCAATTCGAGAGACGATCAAGCGCTGGAGCGATGTATCAATCACCTTTTTGATGGGTGTGATTCATCCTCCACCAATTGATGGGATAATGAGGGGAATGCAATGTCCCAGTGGCACAGGTGAATCACAGCGGTGGGGGAGTTCTTTCCTCCACCAAAACTTTAGCGCCTGTCTTGTACCTTTTCCGCGAGGCATCATAACAACAGCACGAGTGTGCTGGCTACCTAGCTGACGAGCGTGACGTCATGTTCCTTCCACCGGCGATATCTGTGTGTCCAGAATTCATGCTGGGCTGCGTCAATCCTGCCTTGCCTCCCCACCTTCACAACACCATGTGTGTGCCGTTGACATACTGCCGAGTCTGTGTTATTTACCTCCCGGCTTCACTTTCTGCCTCCCTAGTGTAAGCGGCTGCTTAAGGCGCTATTCGAAAAGGAACGTGAAGCCAGGAAGGGCAATGTCCCCCAACCGCTAAGATCTTTTCTTGCGTCTGTCGAAACTAGGAATGAACCCACTTGATGCTTACGAAACAGCATTTAGCTCACTAATAGGATCGTTTAGGCTATGGGTTGAAAAGCAACATTGCTGATGCAAAGTACCTCACGTTGAACCTGAGAAATAGGCAACGGACTCTACCAGTGTTAAATTAAATGGATTAGAAATCGCCCTTTGCGTCGTGTTTAGTTGAAAAACTTGTTGGATCCTCCAAGGAATCAGGGTAGGCTTTAAGAAATGGTCTATCTTATAAAAGGAGAATCGGAATGGCTAAAAAATTTCAGAATTTCCACCAGAATAGAATACACACACCTTTTTGAGAAGGAGTCATTTGTCACGTGGGAAGCCTAAAGCAAAACCATGTAATACCATCCGCCCGTCCGTCCGTCCGTCCATCCATCCATCCATCCATCCATCCATCCATCCATTCATCCATTCATCCCAAACTGCCTAGGAAGAGTTATGCTTTGATAACCTCCATTAACGAAATTCGATTCCTTGAATTTGGTTGGGAATTTTATCTGACGCCTTCTGCCAAGTGAGTTTTGAAAAATTTTTTGTTTCGCATTATGTTTTGTGAGTTTTAAATGGCATTTTTTGCGATGACACGACATTTTGCTCGTATATTAGATCGATCTGTCAGAATGCAACTATTCCACCATCAACTTCTCCTAAATTTTCGCCCCATCAATCGTTTGAGCCTCCCATTGAGTAAACTTTAATTAGGAAACGAAAGATAATGCTCTCAGATCCAAAATTACTCTCAGCTATGATGTGTGGCGTCTATTTGCCCATGTTCATCACCGAGCGCATTAAGTGCGACCACAGTACACAATAAGGGTAACCTGATAGGAACACGCCAGTAGGATCCAAAATTCACTTAGGACAGTGCTAGTCAAATGACGTCAAAATGGTGCATTTTACGACACAATCATGTTTGTGTGAACTAAGAAGTGTCAATCATGAATCATACATATGCATGCATGCTGTCGTTCGCTTCACATGCTCATCATGGTAAGCAAATAACCAGCTTCAAAGCACTGCATGGAGTACTTGGTGGAGGTGCGGGTATTTTTTTGAGAATCTCCCAAAGTTGGCTTGTTCATTTGTTTGTTTAAATAGATAACTGCCTGAGTGAGTTCGACGGTTGCCGGAGTATTTACTGCCATTTTGGCAGGATTGTCAGTCCTACAAAGCCCCTTGGTTATAAGGCCCTCACAGTGGCATAACTTATTACGACTTTGAAGGAGAATTGGGGGTGCATATATCATTTATAAAATACAATAATTTTAATTTGATTTTGAGTCCTTATTATTTTAAGGCACGTCATGGCTGAACGCATTAATCGAGTTAAGTTAATGAAGGAATATTTAAATGTTAACGATGAGCAGATACTTAAGTGCCAATTCACGTATACAGAAGTAACCGTCAAACTAGCCACTCTTCCCCCCGATGAGACTATCCGGAGATGTTCTTCACACTTGTAACATTCTGAATATGGCTAAGAGGGTCCACAAACATAGGGTAAATATTTTAAGGAAAAAGTAAGGTGTAATCCCCGAAAAATTTGATGCGAGTATTGAGCTGATTATTCATAGTGGTTAATGGAGTAAATTAGAAGACAAATGCGCTAATGAAACAAAACGGTATCTACCTCCCGCGATAAATCCTGCTACCTTATACAAAAGTACCACCCAGCAGAGTAACGTGTCTCATACATATCAGGAAGTACCGGCAATTGGATTGAAAAGTGCATAGTCATTGAACTTCAATTGATGGAAGTGTTTACTGAAATAGAGTCCTTCAAATACTCACCAAAGCATAATTTAGGACTATAAATTCATGGTTATGCCAAACGTGAAATCCTCAAGACGACAGCAAAAAAAACCAGCTATGTGCGGTTTACTTTAATGAGCATGGTCTATCAAATTCTTTTCAAAATCACAACAAGTCTTACATAATAGCACAAGCAGATAAAATGCCGCCATTGCAGACATTAGATAGGATAAAAGTAAATCTTGCAGGAAAAAAGATTTCTATAAAAATTTATTTTTACAAAAACGCAATACCTTGTAGTTTGCACTTAGATAAACAGGTTTTGCAACTCTGCAACATTAGGTTGTTTTAGTGTTTCATGGTAAAGCCGCCTTATCTGAGGGTCTGGGTGCGTGTTCTCGTGTTTAGTACTATTGGTTGTGTTCACCGCCTTTACTGTCATCCTACGCGGTGTTATCGCCACTCATTTTTACTTTTGAGAGTCTAGAGTGCTGCGAATAGAAACAAGGGCCACTCATGAGTTATTGTACTTTGACGTTTTTACCCAAATCTACCTGTCCCCACAATATTCTCTTACTAGAATCATTGCTTTTTCCTTCCTCACATCAAATGTTTTTTTGAATACCGCTTATGTGTATTTAGATCTCCATGAGTTCTACACTGCGATTCTTGCTGTCTCCCCCCAAAAGGTGTATTTTCACTTCTGCTCATTTACTCAAAAAAGAAAGTGAGTGTTTCTTAGTACATAACTTACCTCCGCTTTTATGCAATATATTCTACTCGTAATTTTTTTAATTTTAGTCAAACGGACGGAAGAAGGCAATATCACAACCGTAGGTTGCGTTTGTGAAGCGTTTTCATCAGAATTCATTTTTTTTAGTATGAGGGCGTCCGTTGCAAATCGGAACGCTCGGCCCACCTCCTTGATATGACCGGCCTTGGTGACCCACGAATAACCGACCCTATCATTCGATTGGGCCTCAAGCTGCGTCACACTGACGTGCTTATCTTGAGCCAATTCCTACGCCCCGATGGAACCATTCTGCCTCGCGAAGTTTCTGGTTTGACCAAGAGCTCGCAGCTTTATGTTGAAATGCTCATCGAACGCGCTCAGAATGCAGGTGTGTGTGAAGTGGATAAATCACTTGCTACTTAAACGAAACGAGTAGATTTTTTGCGCATCGTCATCTGTCACATCCGCTTACCCATCAGGTCTCCTCCCGATATCAATCGATGCCAATGGGAAGCACGCGTACAAGGACAGAGGACCACATATCAAGAACGTTTACTATGACAGTGACATAATTGGTCTGCCAAAGTTCTCCAAACTCATCCCTAGGTACAAGCCGCCCGCGTAAAACAACCCTTCCTCCCTCGTTCTCGTAACTTTTGTATATGAATAAATGGGACATAATTTGCTGCTTTACTTTTAATTCATCTTTTGTTCCTACTTTCTCAGTCTGCTTTATGGTTCAGTTTGGCCAAATACAGTTGCCCTATATGTTTATCGTTCTTCTAAGTGAGGGATGAGGTATGCCGAGGTATTTATTGCCTTCGGTGAAGCAAATGAATGGAGCTGTTGCCCTGTCACATTTGCTTTATTTCCATCTCGTCCATATGGCATGCTTGTAACAATGTTCCAACATGATGTGGAGCGATGCAGTGTTGGAGTAAAGGTACAACTTCGTGCTGTTTACATTCGGACTACGAGTGATTAACGGTGGGTAAACTGGGTGCGCCTACTTCTTATGCTCTTGGTGCTCACTTTCGTGTCAATCAGCTGACACGAGTCAAGTCAGCTGATTGATTGCAGACAAATTGATTCAAACTGCTTCTTTCTTCATTCGAAATATCGATATTTCCCTCGCTCAGTCTTCAGTCAACGGGGCCACCTTGACGAAGGATGTCTCAGGTAAGGTCTCTGGCAAGGGGTTTGAGCTTTTGGGGGCATTTTTAAACACATTTTCACCCATAATTACAAGAAACGTCAAATTTGGCTGCTTTTAAGATTGATGACAAACCCGGGAGTGCCGCACAGACCTCAGATCCTGCGTCTTCTCCAAATAATCCTCTTCAAGGTTTAAGCGCAGAAAAGCGTCAACTTTTGACCAATTTACTGCTTCTTCTGACTGCTCACCATCGTCAGCAGAAACTGGCAAGCCAGCAAATCGAAAAAGCCTCAAGCAGTCAACAGTAAGTGCTCTATTGACTGAGTGTTCTAAGGCTTGCTTCCAGATACCCACCAATTAAGCCCGAGTTCGATTGTCGGCCCTTCAAGGGTCCAAAAACACCGCCCACTCCAACCCAACCGCCATTACCACCTTCGCCACCATCATCACCACTACCTCGACAGGAATATGCATCCCACCCACCTTCCAGATTCCGAAGACCCCTGGATCAAGGTCGCCAATTCAATCGACCATTTGCATCCCCTCCAAGACAGCGTAGTTTTCGAGAACCACTGGAATCGAGGCGCAGATCACTGAGACCTCAAATTAGACGGGAATTCTCGAATGATCCTGCGGTGTCTCGACTCCGAATGCGGTCGGTGGTGAACGTGGTTGTTGACAGGCGTGGTGAACCGCAACGTCAGCGGTCGTCCTCATCAGCCAGATCTTCGTGTAGCTGTGTAGATTGTGAAGAGAGGAAGAAACGGCGAGAGAGAGAAGACGAAGAGGAGGGCTGTTGTGCTCGAACGCGACCCTACCAAGGAAAAGTAAAACAAAGAGATCCTGTTGTTGTTGAAGGACATGTGGAGGAGGTAGACTCGTGGCAGCTGGGGCGTAAGAGAAGAAGAGAGTGGATACCGCAAGAGAATTATCGGCGGCAGCTGCCATGGCATCGAAGACGCCAGAGCGGTGTGACATATCAAGCCTGGGACTTTGGAAGGCGCGGAAGATTTGTGGATGGCTGGACGGCTGGAAGGCGTGGCAGGCAGGATGCATGGGTTAGGGAGAGGGAGCGGGATTGGGGGAGGAGGTATGGAGCAGTTTGGAGAGGTGATTTTTACTAATGCTTTGTGTACAAATTTGTCCGTAAATACACACACGAGAGTATCTGCGGCGTAATTTATGGGTAGATTTTTCAAATGAAAAGGAAATGGAATGGATTTTCTGTGTTATGAGGCAATTTTTAGTGTTTTGCAGAGCTGGAAGCTTGTTAATTCCATAGAGTTCTTATCGAATCATCAAGCTGTCCTGGTGGTTCATTTATTCATCTCGAATCCATGTAGCCTGGATTCATTCATTCATCCATCCATCTGATATCCATGCGTTCATCTATGACATTTAATTGCTTTAATAAACAATACTAACTCTGGTAATTGCCGCGCCTCTAATCTTTGATACCATCGAGACCTTATTTAATTATTCCTCATCCTCATTCCACGGCCTACTTGGAAAGCGGCTTCTGCAGGGAAGGATTTGTTAATGCGGCTGAACTATCGTGGGATGGGGATCCGCATACTTCTATCGCTTGTACACCGTTCCCATGGCTAGATTCACCCCATGCACGATTTTATGACAGGTAATACATGGATTGGGGCACGGAATCAGGCATTCCACGCTCACTGAATGCTTGCACGAATGAATGCTGTGGTGTGGCGTGGGAGCTACCACGGCCCGTGCTGCCACTGATAGGCGTAAGATCGGTCGTCTTTAAGTCCCTGACATCGTTCAAGCAAGTGTTTACAGCCGAGCGTTCCATCCATCACTGTAGCGAGATGTCCCCAATTTCTTCTTTCCAAGCTTCCCTTCAGAGGAGACTTGGCCCATGTCCACGCGATGTTGGATGCATGTCCAATCGCTGTCACAGATTGTGGCCTGGCATCGTGATTAGGGGTGCCTGGATTAGACTACTCCGCTCTGTGGTACGACATGCTGACTTGTTGTCAAGCCTCCGTCAGGGGTAGTTGCAGTAGATCGCAGGTGGCGCTTTCTGGCGGCTATGGTGCCGTTAGGGTAGCACTCTCGGCTTGACTTGGGGCCTCGCTGTATCCAGGCCCCAGTAACTAAGCCTCCTGTTCATTCAACCATCCATAAGAGATGTTGATGGCAGGTGCAGACGTACTGCCAATTGGTCTTGTCTGAGTGTGTCGCACGGCTTGCTTTGTTCACCACGTCGGGGGTTCATGAATTCTTTTATTTGACCGAAGATGGCTCTCAAGGTTATGTACTTCACTAATCCATGAGGGCATTTTGTTGAACATCTCCTATGGATAAAAGGCAATTGTGTTCCTCTTCGTAGACCCTTCTTTGAATGTGCTGAAGGGCTCGGAAATGGGACAATGAGGCCAGGGCTCCTCACATGTCTAGTCACAAGGAATGCGAGTTTGGAAATTTTGGATTGACTGACAAAAACGGTGGAGCAACAGATGATTAACTTTATAACTCACATTGTGATGAGAGGTGACGATGTGAGAAAGTAGTTTTTGTTTACCTAGGAATGAGTGGCCCCAGAAAGTACGAAATGTGTTTCATGATTGACCTTAAAAGGTCAAAATTTCTCCCGGTTGGTTAAAGGTGTCAAAAAAGGGGTTGAAAATGCCAACTACATTGTTTGAGATAGTGATATGCTTGTCTGTCACCTGGAAGACACGATTATCAGTATTTGCCTCGGAAGTAATTCTAAGGTTAGAAGTTCAAGAAATAGATTACGTCACTAGGCTGCTACTGACTACTTGGAGAGTAGTACATTTGCTGGGCTTGTCGAAAAAACTGGAGAGACAAGTAATTAATAAAATGTTTTGAAACTGACTCCATGAATGATTAGACAGAGAAATGGAGAGGAAAAAAAGTGGAGGAGGAGCATTAGCTTCGCAAAAGTACTTTTGGGCTCTTTTCTAGCGCACAAATGTCCCTCTGGATTTGCAACCAAGTGTCTACGTGACTGGCAGGAGAGACAGGGCAGAGGAGGGGGTACGATAGGAGGGGCGCGGGGGGAATGTGCCTAAAGAGGGGGGTAAGACTACTTTAAACGACTAGTGGCAGCTGGGTGCACTAATGCTTGTTTTTTCGGCCGCTGGCACTCCCGTGGGCAGGAGTATCCACGGCTAATCGAATATTTGTTATTTACGATATATCCGATGTTGCTTCAGTTGTCACAGGTAACCGATGGGTTGCAGTAAATTACGAGATACGAGCTACGACCATAGAAGGTTTTAAAGTGAGGGGATTCCGACTGCCAGTCGGTTTTGCCTCTGACCAGTCCAAAGAGGGGGGTCGCGTGCACAGATCGTAACCCCACACCCTTGTGCGACGAATCTCGATTTGGAGCGGTTGCTTGTATTTGCCATTATAAAACCCACAGACTGGTTCATCCACAGTGGAGGTCTTCCTTCTCTCTTACCTTTTGACGAGCAACCCATCCAGCAAAATTGGTATTGGGCGTCTTCGCCACTCCTACCTCGCATGCAACCGCTGAGTTGTCCAATCCGTGGAAGAGCAAGAAGGATCGAGCGCTCAGGTCCGTGAATGCAAAAAGTGTTGTTACACATGAGAAATAGTTATTTAGCACACCTTCTACTGGTCCTAGATGTCCCCGATTCCCGCTTAATTGATGATCTAAGGAAAACAAGTCCTGTCATCTACAAAGGTCATTAAGACCTCAAAACGTAGATAAAACGAGGCGCGAAAGGCCCTTAACTCCCGTAAAAGTCCTACCACACGTGTGGTATTTCACCTCGTGAAGTACTTTAGCCAGATTCTGGAGAAAGGCAGTCACTTGGGCCATTTCCCCTGCTTGTCTGTGCTGAAACCGGGCGTCGGGTGACAACAAGACCGAATTTAGAAGGATGAACTAGGTAGATATCCTTATTTTTCTGGGCTTCATCTCCAAGATTCCTGCAGCTCGCATATCAGCGGTGGTCAAGGTCACCTTCCATCTAGATGTCACAGCTATGTAGAACCTTCTCAAGGCAAATAAATCCCATATTTTGTCCCCAAAATGGCATATTTTTTGTTACTAGAAATGACGAGTCAAATTACAATGCTACAGTATGTCTGTGTGTCGGGTGCTGGGCATACCCGTGCTTGGGCCAATCAAAATGCAGCCTAAGCAGGAAGGTGAAGGAGGTTTCAGCTACACACTCGCGGTGGAACCAATGGGAATGCAGTAACGATTTCTCTCATCAAGCGACTTTAGCGCCAATCATGCCAGTCATAACTAGCGGTAAGGGGTCTCTTTTACCACCCCTTTCGACTGCTTAGAAACTCTCCTCGGTGGTGACTCTTCACCCTCTTTGCAGATGGGCAAATTCGTAGATAGAAATGACACCATACTTCAAGAGGGCTGGTTGATTCATGCGACAGGCAGTTTTACAATTTTGATTAAAAAAGGAAGCTCATGTCAAACGGGACTGCACCTTGCCGTCTGTCTGTTAGACAGAACGATCGGTTTAATTGACCAATCACAACACCTCAACTGGCGGTCAAACGTTGCGCGATCATTTCTTCCATTTTCATTGGCTAACTTACATGATTTATGAGAACTTCGCCTTTGAAGGGCAAAACCTAGTCAGCAAAATCCAGCAAAAGGATCTTGGTTTTCTGGGTGAAAGTACAGAACAAAGCACATTTAGTAAATAATAACTGGAATGAGGGCAGTTATTAAATTACTGCTGTACCTTGAGTATTCCCTGAAGTCGTGAGACATTACAGTAGCATGCCAGGAGATCTATTAACATACAAAAGGCCAAGCCGAAGTATAGTCTACGGAGACTCAAGTGCCTCCTGCTTGATCAGACGGAATACTTTAAAAAACACAACAGAACATGACATCGTGTTTACACGGCGTAAAGCGGATTAATTAAAGGGACCAGGGTTTGGTTGGCACACATAACGTCACAACCGCATCAAGAAAGCACCAAAAATACTACAGACAGCGGCACCATTTGCGCAATTCAGTCTAGGTTATAAAGGGATGATGATAGGTGGCTAGCATAATGCCTTCACGCAAAATTGTCCAAAAGAAAACAAATTTAATGTCCAAAAAAAAAGACGCTACTGCTATCTGCCTTCTAATTAAAAAATTGAATAAGCGGAGGAAGCCGCCATTTCAAAATTGTTATATCGCTGATAAAAATAAGTACACAAGTAGAGTTATCGCTTCAGTTGATAAAAAATTTCAGACTAAAAATGACTGGGATACTTCAATTTCTACAATGGGAATGAACCTACTCTGATTACCCATGATTTCAACCCCCGCCCCCGTGGCTACGCTGCAGGACACTTCCAATCCCCTCACGACAAAGTTCAAGTACCACCCTAACCATAGCTATTCATCTCCTAACTACTCATAGTAACTTTCGATACATCCGAGTCTACCTGCTGTCGCCTCACTTGAATCACCGTCAGAAAGGGAGGGGGACTGTCCTCCACCTTGCGGAACAGCGAACGTGTGCAAGTCGGCAAAGGTCGCCTTCCAATTGGCCAGTGGCAGTAAGCCAATCGGAGGCCGCCGTGAAGATGCGGTGACAGACTACTTACATAGACGTCCACGGCACATTTTCGTACAGAGGCGTTTCTTCTGACGACAGCATGCCGTTCCAGCCCGTAAGTTGGCGCTCTCTTTTATATTTCCCACATTTTTTCCCAAAAATAATCACATCAAGCAGTTGACCAATCAAATGGCAACTCTAGGGTGGTACCCACTACTACCCGGGATATCATCATGCTTCGATTAAGGATGTCATTTCGTAGGTGAAATGAAATTAGCATCGGCTACTTCTGTCCCCTTAAAAGTCTATTTCTCATCGAAACTGTAGTCTTTTATTTCACCTTGATAATTTGTTGCTGGATGCAAATCTCATCAACCCTAAAGACAAATTTAACTATTTTTTGCAATGCTGTGGTAACTGCGGCTTTGGTGCGACGCCATTGACTCATCACCAAACTTCGCTGTACAGATAGGTAGGTACATACGAACCTACATTTTGCGTAGGTTTCGAGTCACTCCTCCCGCCTGTATTTGCCGAATGACCCATCCCCCTTATGCCTCACAGGATGTACAAAGTGACCATTTTGAGGGGTCGCCAACACCAAATATGACATTCTTAAATTTCATTATAGAATAAGGGTCGCATGGAATTCTCTTATGAATCTTTTTTTCTTCCAACTTAAACCGCAGCTATGGTTAGGATGGGTTTATGTGAGAAAATTTACGAAAGTTTTAGATGAGTAATGGGAGGAAGTCTCATCCTATCCTGAGTAAATGAAAAATGGAGGTGAATCACTCATCACAAAGAAAGAGCAGTTGTAAACTCAATAAGTCACCTGCGGTTATACTACTTACATCCTATTAAATTAGCCGCGTGCTCCTCCCTAGAATAAATCCTGGTTTATTTTTGGGGCCATTAAGTTCCTAACTTCCCCCATCACTAGTGTATTCCAGCTTTCACTTTTTTGGAGCACTCCTCCAAAAAAGCAGAAAGGTAGATTCGTAGGTAGGCCAAGCACCAAATTTACATGTTATGTGAATCCCGTTAATGAGGAGTGTGGTTATTTGCGGGCTGGATAAGAAATGACACTACTTGTCCCATCAGAGCCCACTGTGGGTCGTAAAATAGTCACAAAACCGGCTGCACGCAGTTCACACAACTAAATAGCCCTGGCTGTGTGAATTCAGTTTATTTATTACCAGGGGGCTATTGGGCTTCCCTGCGATTTGGGACAGCAAAGTTTGCCCAGCTTAAATTGGTAGCAGACTGGAAGCCTCTTGCTACTCACGGTTAAGATTTACGTGAAATTGATCAGATTATGTTGCGTTTTAAGTCAACTCTGCAGCACTCATTTCCATGTTTCAATCTCATCTAGAGTTTCCAAATGTTATCATTTTGAATAGCCCAAGCTTGAGAAGTGCGTCCGTTGCGGTAAGACGGTGTACGCCGTGGAACGAGTTGAGGCCGGCGGCCAGATCTGGCACAAGGGCTGCTTCCGCTGTGGCCAGTGTGACGTAGTCCTCAAGTGAGAATGCCTACCTACACATGTGCTTATTAACAGCCAAATTACTAAGGATTTTCTAAATCCATCCGTTCAAATTTGCTTCTTTTAGCCTCAACAACTATAAGCAGGCTGACAAACAACTCTACTGCGGCAAACACTATCAAGAGATGGTTTTGGCGAAGAACACACAAACGCCTGCCATGTAATGCCTGCGCGATGGAGTCTTGCATAACTAATGACCTGAAAAATTAATGGTTAATCGTTCTCATTGTCCTTAACGTATCCACATTGCTTCATTCATGTGCGAAAATATAAGTTGCTAGTGGGTGGTGTCATTGCCTGAACCGCATGAGAGGGCGGGAGCGGCACGTTCTACTTAGCATATTTTTATCGCGGCAGAGTTATTCTAGGGAGGGATGAAGTGGCAAATACTGCAAGCAACGGGATGGGAATTGGGCTCATCAGGTCTGCTAAAGGTTTTCGACACTAATCAGCGATTGAAGTGAAAGACAGCCACTTTACTTCGGGAGTAAAATCAAGTCGCATACTGATCAGGAAATAAAAGCAACGAGAAGGGGGTGGGCCATGTCATTAGAATAGCGTGACGATCCTGTTGACAAGCTAACTAGTCGAAGTGTGCAAATCCAGTACATTAAGCGAAACTGATATTAAAAAGTGATTTGATAAATTATAGAACCCAACTGACTTCTCCAGTCATACAAGAAATTTAGTGAAATATTTTTTTAATTTAGATGAGTCTACATGCCTAACATATTAAAAATAAAAATCACTAAGATTAGAAGCTATTGTTTGATGAGTTTTGGATTAGCCATAACGTGCTTCAAGCTTTAATTTAAATCAACATCAGCTGCAATGCTACTCAGCAGTTTCCACTTTTATCAGCCCTTGCCTGATTAAAAGGATTAAATCTTTTTAATTCAGTGTTTAGGGTGTGTTATGAACAACTATCCTACTTAAACTAATTCGCTTGGAGATAATATGAGTCTTATTTATCCAGAAGCCTTGAAGCCTGGTAAAACTTCAAAAAAGCCAATCAACATCAAGAATTTTCTCGGGTGTTTTGCGCTCATTTTTAAAAACAGTATTGCTTGTACTTGTATGTGTTAATCGATGCCATCACAATATAGTAATAGACACTACATTCTTGGCACCGCGTTTGCAATTGCCGCACTGTGCGTGCCGTTTTGGCTCTACCATCCTCCGCACTTCAATATTGAGGCTGTTCTTAGTGGTCTGCATCGACTAGAAGCATCCTACCGTCCCTTCCCACAGCCCCAACCCGGTCCTCTCGTGATAGTCGGATTCGGCGGTTGCACAGACGTCACTGTCAACGCTCTTACTTTCTTTGAGCCCCTTGAAGCGGCTTCCCACACCGCACGACACTCGCATCGTTCTCCCAATGCATCGTTTGAACTAAACAGTCTGGAGGATGTTGTTGATGACTTCACCCAAATGCTTGCTGCCGGTGCAGCAGCAGAGTAAGTTTCTGAGGTGATAAAAAGTGCTTTTATCCTCATAGACGATATGTAAGGAACCATTCATTGTTCGAACTCCTGGTCACAAAAGCCATCTCCACGGTGACAAATCCAAATCGGCTGCGGGAGACTGCGGAGCGCGGCACCTTGAGTTTGGGCGGCAACGCTCCTGTTATGGCCACAAGGCTGGCGAGAGAGGGAGCCGAGGTTACTCTCGTGGCTCGCTTGTCGTCTCGTGAAACCCAAGCTCTGCCTTCATCAGTTAAAGGTGAGAAAGTAAAGTTAAATGCCCTTCTATTTTTTTTAGAAATCCGTAACCTAGAGTGGTTTGCTTCTAGTTTTGGCAGCGCCATCTAACTTTGGTCTGCCTGAAACACCGAAGACGGATGTACATCTTGTCTTGGAGTACGACAAGGGTGCGGTTTGGCGCAATAACACTGCTCCTCGAGCTAACCGGTTGGTTGCTATTTCCTTATTTTGATTAGGAATGCTTTTTTACTTAGGCGGATTTTCGAGTTGTTTTTTTTGCTATCACTCAGAGAATTCATGGAAATATTTCCATGCATGCCAATTGGTGAGGTGTGGAAGTTGTCCGACTTTGTGACCAACTTGGTAATCTTCCACATAGCCAAAACTTTGGCATACCTCCAAAGTTTGTATTTAAATGCCATTTTGGTGGGAAGTGCGCAATAATTGTTTAGAAACCTTGCCATTTTCACTGCTTTTTACTTGTTTCCTTTAAAGATACGAAAATTGCTTTTATCTCTTGGTGGTGGTCAGTTTTTGTTAAAAAATGTAACTCCATCATAACTTTCTAAATGATACTTGGAGCAGACAAAAGTGCACAATCTGCTGAGCACTTTATAGTTAGCGATGTCTCTTACCGTTTGTTAGTTACCGGTGCCATCACGTTTGGCTTTTTATCATTAATTAGTATCTTGACAGTTTATTACTTTTCCCCTGGGTTGATGAATTTACGCTGTGAGACGAAACACCGTCCTCTTGAGTGGATATGCAGAAAAAAAGGAGATCGAGACTGACAATAAGGCTGTTTTATGACTTTTTTTGGTAGTAGTAAACTCATTTTACCCATGAGTGGAAGAATTCCACGGTGACTGTTTGTGCCGCGCGAGTTGTTATTTCTTCTGCGTTGGACACACGATGACCACTTTCGTTTTTTGTGTAAATCACTTTTGCATCTGCTGATGAATGCATATAATACTTTGGTTTTCGCGAGTATTTACAACACCGGAGAATAGAGGAAAGGTTCATAATGCACAGTTTATGCATTACGTTATCGAGCATCCTTAGTTTTATACAGCAGTCTGTTGCCATCTTTTTGTTATGCAGAACAATTGTCATTAGGATTTTTTATGATTAAATACGACTTAAACAGTCTTTTTCAATGTCTAAAAGTGCTTGATAAGGAGTTTGCGCCTCCACCTTTATAGTTGTTATACTGGAAGTGATTTATTCTGACAAGTGGAATAAATGTCGTGCTCACTCCATTTCTGACCTTTGAACTTGCCTTTAGGGTCATTTTTGAAGGGGATACATGATGCGTGTTTTTTATCAGGTCAGCCTCAGTGAATTCGAGAAAGGCAGATAGAGGAAGAGGTCATTACAAGTGACCACAGGGTTCTAAACGAATTCTACATAAATCTCGCGAAAGTTGGTGACTAAAAATGTGGTTTTCATTCTTTTCGATGTAATTCATCAAAGCACCCTCACAATTTGAACCAGTTACCGGACGCCTCTAAGTGGGATCTCCTCCAACTAGCCAATCAGATGAACAGATGGGGTTGATGGCTGAGCTGATTGGTCAATTGGGTTAGTAACTGCCCGATCGGCTTCCGAGATGGCTTATTCCCTCCTTATAAAATACTTCTCAAGCTACTTGCAGGACTTTGAATTGAGATTTGGCCACCCCATCTGTCTGTGGGATGATGGCTGGCATTCACCAAGCCATCTTTTATCAAATGACCGCTTTCTGAGCTTTTTTACAAAACGGGTGCATAATACTCATCGCAAGCAGTTCCTTTGGTTGCGAAGGCATGAGCAAAATACTATAGCAATAGATTAGTAGCTCATCTGACTGATTTTTTTTCGGTGCCTTTGATTACAAAACGAAAGTTTTATGCCATTATTTGGCGTAGCTTGTACTTCCACCTGAGCGAAAAACCACGAGATCTTCCAAAAATCACCAAGGCGGGTATTCATGATGCCTCAAGTTTAGCTTCTTGGCATTACAGCAACAACGCGTGTCTAGGTGTGCATGAGCCCCACCCCATACAAATCCTCTAGTCATTAAGTTGATAGCTCTCACCCACATTTTTGTGAATCGAAGCTTGCATATGGCAGTAACACGGTATCACGAACCTAATCTGATACACACTGCTTATGCTGAAAGTAGATGCTTTCCTGTGAAAACATCGTCTCATCTTGTCAGCACATTCACGCCTTTGATTTGGTAGTACTTCAGACCCCTTCTTTTTTGACAGTGACACCGTCAAATTTTGCGTCGGATCTCGTCTTTGATGGGGTTGTCGATTATCATCCAATCATGTAGTCTAGCCACCTTACACAGAATCCTTTGAATATTCACCACTCCAAGATGTCAGTTCCCATAGCTGATGTGGTTTTAAAACGAGTAACGCCATAACAACTAATTGGTTAAGTCATGACATCAGGTTATAAGTTGATCATCTGCGGCACTTCCCCCCTCCATTGTAGCAGCAAAGAAAGTCAGTTTAAGAGCTCCCAATCAGATTCCCAACTAGAATATTTGAAATAATAACATCTTGGAGCCTTCCTATTGCTGCCTGTAGTTCAAGCGTGGTCCGAGCTAAATTAAGGCTTTTACTGCACCCGCTTTCAGCTCCCCCTCAGTACATACTGACTCATCTTCAAGACTGAACCCGCCTTCATGAAGTGACATTTTTACTCCAACTACAGTTGATTAGCTAACCACAACCGCTTTGCTAAACATTTCGATTGTTGATGCTTTGTACTTCTGTCAGTTGTGCGTGTGTGTGTGTGCGTTGCATCGCTTCGTTTACATGGAGCTTAGCCTAGCTTACGCATGGTTGCTCAACACAGCGTAATTCCGTAGGCTTCATGGTCTTTATCTTCACCACGGTAACGATTGAAATGGGTTGAATGCGGTGTCACGTGATTACTGCTGTTTAATATGCCGGCTCCTCTTGCAGTTTGTCGGCAAGGTTTGCCACCCTCCACCTCACATGCTAGCTATACTGGAGAAGGAGAGGTGGGAACTACACATTCTGTCATGAGGTGTGTGGGCGGCATGGTGGTGAAGTCCTCCCTTGTGGTATGCGATGGAGCGTCTGCTCAAGACATGCACTGCACCTTCTGTGTAGACTTGGACTATTTGACCTCTTCTCCAGTGTTGCAATATAAGGTGTCTGAGTCGGAGTAGATAGAGAGACGGGTCCGAAGAATGAGGGTACATGTTGGAGCTGACGTTCTGCTTAAGAATCTGATTCACCCATAACCAACTCATTTCTCTTTCTTCCCTTATGAAGGTACATTCTGATTCGAGATGAGGAGAACCCACGGCTGAGCAGCCTTTGGCCCGGTCTCATGTCCTCCTGGCGCAAGTGGGGCAATCACGGAGGCGGTGTGGGGAAGGATGAGGCCATTTTTCCTGACCTCCTTGTGGTGGGTGGTCTGCAGACCATGGACAATGCTGTCATCTCACCTGGTAAGACACTTCTGCTACGGTCTACTAAAATGGCTATTAAGTAGTTGTGCCACCTTTCGCCCCCCTCCACTGAGATTTGTGGCCGGTGGTAGGCGTTGATGAACCACAAGGCGTTTTATATTTCTCCCTGCACATAATAAAATTCCTTCCCTTGAGAATATTTCAGTACGGTTTAAAAGTCCATGCAGATCTACTATGAGGATCACGACTTTGGGAGTTAATTTCCCATGGGTGTCCTCCCCCTTTCTAAGAGCTCATTATGGGTTTCTAGGACCTCGGTAAAGCATGCCGCGATAGGTTGAGAAGAAAATTATTTTATAGAATTCCTTATAAATTCCGAAAGTAGGATTCCAGAGGAGGGACAATGTCAACTTTCATACCACTGGTAGTCTCTTGAATATCCTTGCATCCTGCTCAATTAAACAGGTGATAGTGAAGTCAACAAGACTTTTCTTCACTAATGCTTCCACCACCGCTGCCACTTTGTAGACATCCGTGGAGAGAGAATGGAGGCGTTGAGACACCTCCTGGCCGTGGAGACGCCCCGCGCCACATTGGTCCATTTTGAAATGGCCTCCTTCGTGGAGACCAATTTCGTGGCCAATCTCACTCGCACTCTCCTTCCCTACGTGGACTCGATTGGTGAGTCAGTAGAGATAAGTGCCACCGCCCTGATTTTGCTGCCAGAAGTTAGTCGGTCTTGTTGCTAATATGTAGTGCCTAATCACATAGACTACTGGAAATGAGTTTTTCCTATACGGTCTCTCTTCGTGAGACTTAGTAGTCTCCCTCCACTGTCAGTCTCCAGAAGATACATCATTACCGGCAGATTCTTTCCTTTTGGGGCGGTGTCCCACAGTACCTAACCGTCGAAGTCGGAATTCACTTCTGAAGATACCGTAAGACCCATGCGTGTGGAGATGAACAAACAAGCTAGGATGTCAGTGTCAAAACTCCATGATACCGGCGTGGAGGGCGGACTGTGGTGGATCGAGAAGGAGTGGGGACTCGTGTCCTGCTTCAAGCTTGTCGATGTGGTTCGCCACTTATTACAATAAGTAGTATACCCGGGCCCCAATAGTAGTCTACTGCTAAGCATTTGCAGCTCTCGGAACCGCACTTAAAACAACAGCAAGTAGATGCCCAGATTGAGCACCTACCACTGACGCTGAGTGTGATCAGTAATAAATTTTATCCGGGTTCAGGAGTCAAGAAAACTGTCGCCTATCAAGCAGAGATTAAGACAAAGCACGTCTTCGGTGCACCTAGCTACAACTGTTTATTGCAGTTTTTAGAAATCTGTAAAAGGCATGGAAATGCGTATATGCTTTGCGGAGCTTGTCTACTTTAAAAACCGAGGTTAGTTAGCTTCCAAAGATAAAGCAGAAGCAGGAGTGAGAGAAGGATTCGTCACCCTAGTCACGTCCTCTGTGTTCCTCTACGAGGTTATTCCAACATTTTCTCGACACTAGACGATCACCAGAGAAATAGATTAAACAATTGGGAAGTAAAAGTGAGACAGAAGCGGAGTTAGCTGGGACTAAATTTTCTCCTTTGCCTCCAGAGATGGGACGTTCCTATCCAAAGTGGAAATGTGCGAGCCTGGGAAGGCGTCACGGATCGTAATGACAATGAAATCAGCGAAGTATTGTGAAAAGCTTTCTGTAGCTACTTCTATTTCATTACTAAAACTCCACAAACTTGTTTGGTCGCCCTACCTTACTAACAGCATAAGTCAGTAGCATGCCATCGCAGAGTCGTCGATTCTACTGACCTTCGAGGATCAGAGTTATTACCAATTCGAACACTAATAACAATAGTCTAACCTGTCAACATATTTTACCCCAAGTTTGAATTGGCATTAGTTGCCAAATCTGATAACTATGATTGCGCATACCACGAACCAGTCAGTTGTCTGTCTTCCCCAGGCCTGAATGAGCAAGAGCTGCCAAATCTGCGCAGCCTCCTCTCAGAAGGTCGGGTAGCCTCTCAGGCAAGTGTGTCGACACCTCGCGCCGCAGTGATGTTGGATGAGATGCGAGAGATCTGGAGCCTTCTTGCTCACCCCACTCAACTGCCTCGGGTGGGAGTGGGTTTGCGTAGACTCTCGCGGCTTCATCTCCACACTCTAGGCTACCAGATTATCATGGTGCAACGTCCTGCTGCCGCTATGAACATTGACGCCGCCACCGCGGACAGGAACTTTGCGTCCGACCAAAGAGCCACGGAACTAGGATTCGCGTGGCCCTTTGCTAGGGCTGCTGCGGCAAAGGTTTGCAAATATTCTTTGATGTATGGGTGTCTGGATTGATGAATAGATAAATAAATGGATCCAGGATGCGTGGATAGATAGATAGAGAAGTTTTGGGATCTCTCTCTCTCCGCTGTTCCAGGCCAGTCTGATCGCACACCGTCACACTTGTGCCACAGCCTCCATCGATCCTGAGTTGACCCGCCTCTTGATGGACGACAGTTTCGCAGTGACCGCAAATCCAGCCCGATGGCCGTCGGCATTGCATGACGGCGCTGTACCACGCATCCGATTCGACCCCTCCGCCCCCGTCTCTTGCTGGTTTGAGGCAGAGCCCGTGGCGTCAGTGGAAGGCGGAGGTCGCCGAGCTCCCGGAGGCGACTCAGCGACGCGAGTAGAAATCTGTGTTGCCCCGGTGCCCGTTTGTCGACGAGTAACGCGCACTGTCGGTGGTGGTGACAACATCTCTGCGGCGGCATTGAGGACGCAGTTGGTAGAGCGAAAGCGCTCCTTTGGGTGACTTTAGTCTCCAACTGTCACTGGTACCATTCCTCTTTCTATCAGCGTGCGCGTGTATCCTTTGTACAGTTTTTGGCGGTGAATAATGCTTTAATTGGTAGTTTTTTTAGGCAGGGTATAAAAATGGCTAATTTTCCTCTTTGCGGTGATAAATTTACCGTGATATGCCTGAGAGAAAGCCAACCCAATCCGAGGGATGCACGATCCTACCACATGCATGCCATTTCCTGTTGTAGAGATCTTGATGTCACAACCTTTAGACACCTTAATTGTGCCTGAAAATCGAGATCCTGATTCCAACCTCTAAATTACTTTCAAAAGATGGTAAGAAAAAGCCCAAACCAGGTATCAGAGAGGGATTGACGCGATTGTCCACTATGAGCCCTTGAAGTAGTCATAGATTGTGGTGTATGTCAATTGTGTTCTATCATTAGTAGCCGGTAGAGACCAGTCAGCACGTCATTCAGGCAATCGTGGTACTAACTTCAATGATGAGGACACCCATGGATGTCTACCCGTTCGAAAGACTTCAATCGCTCGTTTCAATGACGTAACGATGGATCCTACTGGAAGGCAATTTCGTTCCGCCAATTGGCGAGGGGGATGTGCTGAGCCAAAACACAGAGGGAAACAGAAGCCCACTGCGGGTTTCCCATTTCTGCTACCGTTCCACTGTGAATAGAAATCCGGATGGGCATCAAGCCTGAACTTCAAGAGGCAGTGGCCAGTCAAAGCTGGCAAAAAAGTGTGCTAGCAATTTTCCACAAGAGCGGCTGAAATTTCTAGCTGTTGTGACACTTCATATCAGGTGACGGAAGAAGCAGAGCTTACTGCCATTGCTTGTCATTTGTAGGGACTTGTGACACTAGCGCGCTTGTTTACACGCAGATAAATACGAGTCAGTCTGTCGATTCGGTGTTCCTTGTTGTCAGCTCGATTATCCTCCTCCTCCTCTTCGTACTTTTAACCCCCATCACCATTTCATTACGCATTGGTCGAACAAACCACCTGAGTGGAGGTGGTTTAAGCGAGTTCACTCCGGTAGCAAAGCTGAAGCCATGACTGGAGACGGCGTGGTCTGTGGTAGCAGTAACGGTATTCACCGACGAGAAATGCTTGAAGAATCGGTTTTACTGAATGAATCACCAAATGGTGGAGCATTATAGCCAGGCGGACCTCCACCATTCTTGAGAATTGCGGGTCGCTAATGACGATGAAAGACGTTGAGGGTTGACGCGTCAAGGACAACGTTCAGTGGTGTGGTGACAAGACCACACCATTCACATAAACTGGGAGATGGAGTGAGGCAAGCCAATGAGCAAGTGGATCCCATCCACGCGACGTGCCTCAACTGATGCACCTAGTGACACCTTGTTAGTGAAACTGAGGGCATCATTTCATCGTGGTTTGATTTATTAATGTGTTTTGTAGAGGCGACATGATTTATGAGGGTGTAAGCTCACTCATTTTTCAACGAAAAAAATGGGCGGTTTTTCCTTTGGATGGATGTCATACGTTGGAAGAGGGTTTACCTGAAGGGACACAGCGCCGTGGAAGGCCAAACACAGTGGCAGCAGGGGCATCCTCTTGAAACCCTACTTCTAAAACCAAGTAAGCCAAGGAAAAAAATTAGCCCCCTCCACCTCCACTTCTATCCAAATTTTATTTCCTAACCGTCTAGTCTATTTCGATAGCGAGTATCCAATGCTGAGATGGTGATTACTTGGGCAAACATCATCAGGGGAATACAGAAGGGGTGAAGCGGGACTCTTTTCCTCCATTGATCGTTTAGTCCTGCTTGGGTCTTGGGAGGTTATTTTCCTCCCTACTTTTAAGTTTGAGGACACATTTATGTCTTAGTGGGGACGGCCACAGATATGGGATATGTCCACTCCTCTTCCCAATGCAACTCGGTCGTCCAGCGGAAAATCTTAATCGCGTACCGCGTTTCTCCGACGTAGATGAGGGAATTGGAGAACAAAGTGGCAGCCTCCTGAACCTTGTCGCCTTCCATCTGTGAATGAGGTGCATTTGCTTAGTGGCTTCCTCCACTCCTTTCGCCTCCCAGTTGATGTGAATGATGTCGACAAATTGTCTCATCACCACAGCACTGAACGTTGTCCTTGACGCGTCAAGCCTCAACACCTTTCCTCGTCACTAGCGACCCACAAGTCCCAAGGATGGTGGAGGTCCGTCTAGCTTTGATGCGCCGCCATCTGGTGATTCATTACAGTAAAACCGATTCTTCAAGCATTTCTCGTCGGTGCTACTGTTACTACTATCGCAGACCACGACGTCTCCAGTCCTGGCAAGGAGCTGCTGCTCCCGCTTTAGCTTCGGGACCGAGGCGAACCCGCTTGTACCACCTCCAATCGGGTGGTTCATTCAACCGATACGTGATGAAATAGGGGTGGGGTATAAAATTGGGGGAGAATGAGAACAGTAGAGAGAGGGCAGCAGAGTACCGAATTGACCTGCATATAGAGAACAGCTAGTGGTACTGAAGAATGCCTCCTTGGTTACCTGACACAAAAGACGAAGTAATTATTCAACATTAGTCAAATTTTAGATGGCTGAGAGTGGAGGCAAAAAGCGAACACAAAAGTGATTGAGACTTGACTGCTTCGAGCACAACTCGTGAGTTGGTCACTGATCGCTGCTTCTGCAGGAATCGCCCTCAACCGATTCCCACGAGAAAGGGGTTCTAAGAGTCTTAAAAGCAATTCACCATTCTTCGAAAAGGAGGAGCGACCTACATGGAATTCTGTGCTGCCAAAATGGGGTGGCATTTGCATTTCTTGCCGCCTGCAAGAGGAAGATCACACATCGACGCCAAATTTTGACCCCAGGTGACCTCTATCAGCGCGGAACAAAACGCCTTTAAAAGGTCAGTCCAATGTGCGTTTAGGGTTGTCATTTTTATCGCTCCATTGGAACCGCCCTTCGTGCGTGGTGAAGAATTTTGGACTGCAAAATGAACCAAGTGTCAGATCGGAGATCTGAGCTGGGACTGCGGTAGTGGAGGATGAAAGTGTTCCTTGACAGCAGAGAGAAGGAAAAACTCACACGTCCATCTCCTGTGGCTTGACGTGGTGATAATTACGCAAGGCATCTATTATCCGTTCAAAGTAGAATTTTCGATCTCGCGTGTTTCTTCCAACCCTTCCATGCGTCGGTAATAAAGTCATTCAATTCTGCATGACAGACCACACCTTGTAAAGGCAAAACAGGCTCTGCTGGGTCAGAAATAGACCAAATTTGATCCATGTAGCGCCAAGGATTAGCGTTAACTTTTCACCTGACCAACGATCGGAGCAAACAAACTGCAAATCGCACCAAGTGGTGGTCAAGCGGGTTGTGAATTTCGCTAACGCAGCAAGGAGCGGAATGAGCAAAATTGCTCAGCCGTGGAACAGGTCTGTGGAAGGTTTCAACAACCATGCTGGATACCACCCCTAACTGGAAAGTAGACTAGATGACGAGGAGTTTTGAAAGGCGCAAAAAAGTATGGCAGTTGCGTACCTACTGCTCACATCACGCGAGGTTCCACAGCAAGCACGTCTCTGCCATTCAGTGTCTTCCATTAGTTGATGAGGTAGTATCCAGCTAGATCAGGCACAAAATTAACTTCCAGCTATCCAATTCAAAAAATGTGACTGAGACGAAGTCCAATTCATCCCAGTTGGCGAGGAAAGGGGAGACTGGGGGGCAAGGCGGAAAAAAAGCCTCGACTACAAAGGAAAGAGACCAAAGAGCTAACGCAGACAATCACATGCGTACATTTCACGAGGAAAAGTGAAAAAAGCGGCAAACGTTGCAGTATATATCCGTGTGAGTGACACCGTTCTCTCAGGCATACAAAATGTCATAGTGTCCGGGTCGATAGAGCAGCACAACAGGCGCGGCAGCATGTTCGCCCGAACTCGCGTTCTCCCGACCGGGGAATTCGAGGCTATTCAACTCGCCTGATTGTTGGCAATTCTCGATCTTAATTGGTACATCCATGGCCAAGGCCAGTGCAGCTACGTGGACGTTGTCGCACTCCAGACCCATCGGCTCGACCTCCTGGAAAGGTGGATGGTTTGACGAGAGAATAGATGGATAAGGGAGGAATACTTCGACATAAGAAGAGATCAGTTGATCCGAAATTGATGAACGAATGGACCATTGGGCGGGTGGGTAGAAGAATTTTTAGATGGATGAATAGAGATAAGAAGAGATCGACAAATGTGTAAATGGGTGAATGAATGGAGATGGGTGGGGGGATTAACAGATGGACAATTAAGTGGGGCCAAGATGAAAAATCTGGTAGCTAAATAGGTGAATGTGTGAAGAGACGAGTGGATGGACGGAAAGATGGGTGAATTGTATAATGGATTGGAAAATGGAGAGAAGGATGAGGGGTTGGGTGGTTAAATAAGGCCAAAATGAAGGGATAGGTAAACGGATGGACGGTACGAACAAGTGGATGGGGAGATGGGCAGATGGATAATTCTGATAATGAATGGTTGCATGGAGAAATGGAGTCATACCGTTTCACAGAACCTGCGGACAGTCTTATTATCCGGGATGAAGTTGGAGTAGAAGGATTCGTTGCGTTGCATGTAGCTGGACACGGAGAGTCTAAGGTAGGTAAGGACAATAATTGGAGGGAGGACTTACCTAAGAAAGACAACGTAGTAATCGGAGTAGGATTGGTTGTTGAAGAGATCTTCCAACTCTGACAGTGAACTGTCCTGGAGTACCAGCTTTTCAACCATTCCAGTAAACTAGTTTGGGGTGATTCTGTGTAAGGTAGAAGAACCTACCTGTTCATGGAAGTCCTCCACTGTGAATTCAGTGTAGCCGACGGAGATGAGGAATTCCTTGCATTCATCACAGAAACGAATGAATCTAAACCGGTGTATGTGAATGGGGGAATGAAAGCTCTACCTTTTGGCCTCCTCTTTCCTCTTGCCCTGCATTAGATACTCCATGTATGCAAAACCAAACGCACGATAGAAACAATTCCCATCACGACGTAATCGACGCATTTTACCGTAGCGCTTCTTCAACAACTAATGAGGCGGAAAAAGCAGTACAGATCATGGAGCAAAGGGAGTCGTTAGAAGTCTAGATATTACAACCTCACCTCCAGCTTCTCAAGGTACACAGTGTGCTCATTAAAGTCTTCTGCTAGTGTAGACAATGGCAACAGCTCACTGACCAAGGGTCCACTTTCTTTGATCTATGGAGTTTACCACAGTGACGGCCAAGAATAAACAACTCACTGTCTTCTCTATTTCCTCTTGCTGAGTTTGCAGCGCTTCAAAACAATCAACAGGGGAGTAAGTTGATGGACCGGGGACTTGTACCTCATCTGACGGTTCTGCTCTAACTAAAAGTGACGAATTATGCTAACACTTGTCGAACCTGTGTTTTCCATCTGACCAGTGAACTCGAGGATCTACAAACCAGTAGCAGGCTAAGCTGACAAGAATTAATCACAAAAAGCATGCCAGGCACAAAAGTGACGATTCAAAAGAAGTTAAGATTAAGGCATGTTTTGAGTTGTTTGTGTGTTCAAAGCAAAAAAATATTTGCAACATTGAAAATATTTAATTTGCCTACAAATGGTCAATTCACGTGCCAATTATCTTAGAGAATGTGAAAATACAAAATGAATTTTGCTCTTCTAGACAATGTTGAAAACGGCAAAATAACCTTATTTGGGCGAAAGCTAAATGGGATTTGGCATCATTATCATTATACGTGAAAGTCATTCACTAAAGGTGAATCAATTTGTTGTCATTCCTTTGACCCGAAAGGTAAATCATGGGGCCTCTTTGTCGTGTTTTTGGCGTCTCTCGGCTGTTTGCCTCGCGTCCTTTTTTACTTCCATATCTTAACTTAGCACAACTGTCAACTATTCGGGAACCGATTGACGTAATGTGTTTCAGTTACGATAACAGTCTCAGGGTGAAGAAGTCGATGAACCTGATGTTCTTATCAAAAAACTGGAACTTGAAGTCAGAGGTCATGAACCTTCAGTGCTGAAGAGCTACGAAAATTTTGTTCATACTGTTTGTGGTCATTTCGATCTGCAGTGCAAAGTGTGAGTAAGTTGGTTTCATCAGAGGTGTGCATGACATTCACATTTTGTTGTGTTGTTAATTTTACAAGAATATCGCTGTTGTGAGGGCTTGAAAGTAGTTGGTAGGATTGTTTATGATTCATTTATAGCTTGCAAACTTGTATGTTTCGTTTTTATTTAAGATGGGGCAAATTCGGTTTAATTCTGTTGCGAGTGATTGACAATCTCGTTTCGATATTATTGTAGTCTTTTTTACCTTTAAATACTATTTTAGATGATTATTTTTCTGGCACATGTGTGGTGGTGTAATTCTTCTTCTCCTCTATTGCCAATAGGGAAACTCGCAACTCGCCAATATTCGACCGCCTCTCCTTGAACAAATCACCCTTCATTTACAAGAAACATCAACGGCAATACGAGTTCCGGACTTATGTTAAAACTTTCACGGTTCGTCTACGTTTGCGAGTTTTGTGAAATTAATATATCTACTTGTACTGCGATTTCCAGTTTCTTTTCTATTCTCCTTTCAGATTCCTCATCTAACAGGATCCACAGCCAGTGTCTTCCTCGAGTACATCCAACGCAACCTCCCTGCCGGTGTTCACATGACCGTGAATCAAGTAATCGAGTCCCATTTCCTTTTAAAGACTGATAAATTTCATCGCAAATTCACCTTTGTGCTGTCTCATTTTAGCACCGTGTGGAGCCGCTGCCTGAGGCACTTCAGCGTTCTACTGAAAGTCAAAAACTGGAGAAATAAATTTTAGTATGTGCAGTCCGCTGTAAAAATGTCACGACGTTTTATTTGGCTTCATCTTTTATCCATTTGGTTTTTGGGGGCTCCTCGCGCGCCTCATTGATGTGTTGATAGTCGAAGCAAACTGCCGAGGGACGAAGGATGTGGATTTCCTTACTTCCCAGACAGTCCTAACCGATTACGGGTTGGGGGCATAAGCCGAAATCATCGATGCAACGATGAAAAGAAACATCCGTCCCAGAGTCGAGGTGTGGCATTAGCAAAAAGCCGACAGCAGGGCGGAGGGTCTCCTCGTCCCCTAGGCGATTCTAGTTTTATTACAGGAAGAAGGTCAAAGGTGAAACTAAAGTGGTGGGCAATCATTGCTGAGACTAAACTTGTTCTGATTGGCACGATTCTACCCCGGTAACGCGCCAGACGGGTGATAGGCGGAAATTCTACGCCGACAATCAAAGCGGCCCCACGAGGTCTCATCGAAAGTCCAACGGGGGGAGGGGGGGTTTACCCTAATTCGAAGCCACGGGAGAGTCGTCAGTGGAAAGGCAGGAATTTGTGAATGTCGAAGAGGACTCTTAAGCGAGCCAGTAATAAATGCACTCCCCAGAAGTGGACACCGGCCACCCACTGGTCCCACCGCGCACCCTGTCAAGGTTCACTGGTGAGTTTCCGTTGGTTATATTTGTGTCACACAGGGAGCCGTAAGGTTCTCAGCTGCGGGGACTCCCTGGACCCCCAATTAATGCTGAGGAAGTGCGTGAACTCCCTCCCTGAACGATTCTAACCGTTTACAAGTGGAGGGTGCAAGCTGAAATCGTCGAGGGGACGATGCCAGTTCTGGTGGAAAAAAAGGTAAGCAGATCCACCTCAAAAGCAAGCTGAACGGCCTCTGATGCCACATAAGTGAGTGGTCCACCAAATCTTCCACGAGCTGGCCGACTCTCGCTTCCACTAAAATTAGGGGAGTGATCAGCAAAAAATCCTTTTCCCTTCAAAGTAAAGCTCGAGCGCAAAGGCGGATAACGGCGCCCTACATGGCCTCACCGGAAGTCCTACCAAGTCGTCGTTGCGAAGGCTACGTCTATACCCTTCAATAAGCTTGCTACAGAGTCGACCAACCAATTGAAATAGTCACTGCCAACTCGTAGGTGAAAAAGACAGGACACGATCCACAGTGTATGCATGTAATAAACTAGACACATGAAAACGCAGAATAGAGATAGCAGGTAGCACACATTTTTGGGTTTACTAGCGGAGTGTACTTGTGCGTGAGGGAGAGCGATTGAGTACTCGGCATCATCATCATCAAAAGAGGGAAGTGAGTGAAAGCAAATCCAATGCTCTTCTATCGGGATCCCGTAGTGGCCAGTTGGATTAGCTCCTGGGCGTCCACCTCGCCAAGCATTCCTACAGCCGTGACAAAAAACAGCCGCACAGTAAAGCCTTGGCAAACCTCGGGGCAAGACGAGACAAGAAAGGAAGGTAACTCACCCACTACATCGAGGAACTCCTCCACCGATTCGATAGGCGAGAGGTCATTCTCGAAGAAACTCAGCAACTCCGGCGTCGCCGCGAGCAACTGCTCGTCCGAACTGCGAATGTACCGTGACACCGCCTCTGGCCACCAGCAACCGTGTGCTCCCTGATCGGTTGGCGCCTTGACGGTCTGGAGTGGAGGATGATTTACACCCAACACCATTGACAAGGTGAAGAGATGGCAAGACGGACAAGCACACACGCACCTTGAAGAAGTACTCGTAGAAGGCCTGAATGAGACCGAAGAAAAGGAGGTAGGGCTTGTAGATAGTGAAGGCGGGGGACTCCGTGGCGGCGACTCCGTCGGTTGCGCGAGCGTGCGCAAGAGCCATGAGGTGACGCAGCAGAGAGACACGGTGCTGGTCCCACTCTCCTCGTGACAGTAGGTGGAGCGCCACCACTGCGCTGTACAGTGGACCTGTCACCTCCCAGCACGCGTTGCTCCAACTGGGGTGAAAGGGGGAGGGGAAAACTTTTAATACTCTGGTAGTGAATAGAAACCATCATGGCATTAGAGATGCTAGAACACAGAAGATCCTCAGAGCCGAGAGCAACAATCACGAGAGGTTCTGAACCACGAGATCAAAAGTATCTCTTACTAGGACTCAGGCTTCTCCAGCACACACATCAGGTTGGCTCGCTGCGGCTCCATGGCCTGTTCCTTCTTCATCTGGAAGAAGGCCAACTAGATGAAGGAAGGAGAGATAGACGAATGGTAGTCATTGAAGGAGAAAAGAAGAGGGCGGAGCAGAAAGTGAGAACAGATGACATGCCTGCATGAGGTGGGGAATGAGGTTGAGGTTACTCTCCGCTGCACCACCACCCGTCTCGCCGTGGAAGGAGCGTTTGTGTGCGAAACGCAATAGCAGCAGCTTAATGTCGTGCAGCGCCAGGCGTGTCGACACTTGCAGGGAGATTTGCATCTATGGGGGTGGGAGAGGCACAAAACACGACCAATTGATGCGCAACCAAAGTTTTTCCCAGCCCACCTACCAACAACCAGAAGCTCACCGTTACACCGATGGCATAGGTGGAGACCCGTTTGGCGTAGAGATCATCCATGCTCTCACTGCTTCCCGCTTCCCCTCCACCTCCTCCCTTCTCCGCCTTTTCGTCTTTCTTGTCGTCCTTGCTGGCGGCGTCGGGCGCGACCTCGTTCATGAGGACGGGCAAAAGGCAGTTGCACCTAGCATCCCGATTGTGTCTGGTGGCGACACTCCACTCGCTCAGATTCGATGCCTGTACGGCCCTCGCGTGGCATTCAAAGTGCACGACCACGAAACTGGAGACGGTGGTGTAGCCTTCCGAGTCGGCGCTGGTATCGGCGGACGACACTGCTGCCTGTGTGGAAGCCACGGAGGCCGTGGATGCAGAGCCGGCGTCTGCGAGCGACTCCTCCAGTTTACGACGTCGAATGAAAACGTAGATGCCCAATTCTTCGCGTGGCGATGAACGCGGACCTTCGTGGCAGATGGCACATTGCAGGCCCGTCTCCTCCACCACCTGGGCTGCCATCTCCGCCAATTTGCTCGCTGTTGTCATGGCGACCTGTGAGGTAGCAGTACAGAAGGGTATCGGTTTAGTTTTGCGCACTGGTGAATGTCGCTCGGGATGGGTCTGACGTCACTCACCTGTCCCTTCTCATTGACCTTCATGTTGAGTGAAAGCAGGTACTTCTCCCTACATTCCCTCGCATTGCGTCGATGGCGCTGCTCTGAAAGGGTTCTCAGTTCCCGCACTGTGGCCACCACTCCCGGAATTGTGGTGAGATCAACGCTGGAGGCAGGTGTGGTACTGCCCTCAATACTGCCAGCAGCCACCCACTCGTTGAGTAGATCCTCGGTCAGCAGACCCACACGGCCGACAGACTTGGAGTCCTCCAATTTGTGCAGGAAGGCCAGCAGCTGTCGCGTGGTGTGGCCTTCAGGAGCATCTGGAAAGGGTGGGGTAGGCGGATCCTCGTCCGGGTTGGACACCGCCCACACACAGCCGCGAAGGAGTTGCAACACGAAGGGCAGGGAGTCGTCGTACAGAAAGGCGGATAGAGCGGGGCTCTTGGTGCTACAAGGGGAGGAGGTAAAGCAGAATTAAACTAGCAGATAGGTGTGAGGTTTCATAAGGACTTGAAGGCCTTCAGAGAGGTGGGATTAGGTCATCGTAAACGGTGAGCACTGAGCAAAATCTATTTTCCACGAGTCCACAGGCTGAGAATGAAAACCAATATAATCCAGCAGGGGTATCACATCCCGAGCGTCTCAGAGGAGGAAGATGTCACTGGAACTTCTTGATGCATTTTTAAAGTTTAGTTGGTTTCGCAGAAACTACAATAGAAACTCGCGAATTCTCCACACCCACTTACTCCAACGTGGTCTCTTCCGACTGATCCAACACTGCCGGAATCATCCTCCACAAGTACGCCACGCACAACTCCAGTAGAGCAAGATCACTGACCACCCGGGCACGTAGACGCCGTCCATGTAGCGTGTTGAAGGGGATGGCGGTTACAAGGGCGCAGCAACACTGCAGTAGGTCGGTTTTAGTGTTGCTTTTTGCTTTACCATCTGATTCCTGAGGTGACATCAACAGGGGCTCGACAATGTGTTGGCGGAGGAAATCGACAATGGCAGTCATGCGAGGCTCCGCACCGAAGGCTAGAAGGCCCGGCAATTGCGCGACACCGGATTGGACCACCTCAAGATCCGGATGGAGGGCGAGACAGGACAGAAGACGGGACAGGCCAAGGGAGTCGGCATCGGAGGCGGTGGTGGCTGCACTGTGAAGCAAGGTAGTGAGTATACCCACGAGACGAGAGGTCACCTGGTCGTGGAAGTCGCTCGTTGACTGATGCATCACCTGTAAACAGGCGTAGAGGGCGTCCAGGAGGATGGGGATTGCGCTGAAGAGGGAAAAAAGATGCGTGTGGAGAGTATTTATGAGGCACACTAGAATGTACGGAAAAAATGTCTCCACAGCTGGGAACAAAAAACACCCACCGATACTGCGGATCGACGAGACAGGACTGACACTGCGGCACCTTAAGACAGTACTCCAACAGATGCACACTGACGTGAAGGAGGTCGCGACACTTCAGAGCATCCTTCACCACGTCCAGCCGATTGAGAATGACCGCCAGGCCCTGTGGGTGCTCCGTGAGCACGACCAGTCTGGAATACTGCTCCTCGGGGATGTTAGGATGGGGTAGGCGCGAGACGTAGGGCAGATTGTCCGCCTCCAGTCCCGGGATTCGGTAGATCAGCTCCATTGCTTTATTTGCCTGACGTGAATAATGGGAGCGAGCCGTTTTGACTAATGACAATCGGTAACCAAGGTATTGGGGATATGAAGGAGCCTTACATTAGTGGGATTCTGGAGCCAGAGGTACTTGTAGACATTCTCCAGCAGCAACTGCGGCATAAGGATGGAATTCTCGCAGACCACTTCCAGTCGCATATCTGTGGTCAGATTGTTTTCCGCGCAGATGTAGTTAATCACATCGGAGATAGTGGGACCGAAACCGCGGGTGTTGGACCTTGACGGAAAGAAGAGGAGGTTATTTTTCAGTTGATCGAATAGCCATAAAGGAGACCTTGGTCGGACATTCACGACTGAACAAATATCTGATATTAAATTAACTAATCCAACAGGAACTTTGATCTCCAAGATGCAGTCACCACCAACATTAGTGATAGGGGTGAATATTCCAGCTGGCAAGAGATTTATAGAACATTTGAAGGTAACATTTAAGGGTTGTGGAAATAGTACACGGTAAATCGCTTTACTTCAAGAAGACTAGAACTCAGAGAGATGGACAAAAGTGGGGCGAGAGCATTTTAACGACCGTAGCACTAAATTCGCATCAACTCGAGCGCCAAACTTACATAACCACCTCACGCACACGTCGCACAAAGAGATATTCCTCCTGATCCCGCCACACAGAGATGCGCACTGGGAAGGGTGCAACCTCCGTGGGAAGGGGGCAAGCGCAGGCGCAGATGCGCTTCAACAGAAAGACGGCGGAACTCTGGTCGTCTGTTTGCACAGGACACTGGACGAGGTAGTCCATGGTGATCTGCAGAAAAAGAGTAGCGGAGAGATGAGAGTAAGGAGAAAAAAAGCCAGCGACAAAGATGTGAGGGAGAAAGCCACTCACGCGAATGAGGTCGGGAGCGCGTGACGAAGCGTTCTGCATAAGCTGTTGTAGCATCTCCTTGAAGAGGAGCTCTGCCTTCACGGTGTAGATGGTGCGTTGGTAGACCAGAGACTGTAGACTGACAATGGCATGGAGGAAGTAGGAGTAGAGGCGATCTTGATGCTCTAGTGCCAAGTCGTTCTGCCCAATGGAAGGAGAGAGAACTCAGCAAGAATAAAATAACTCACGAGACAACTACTAACCAAAGGGTGGAAGCCTCCAAGTCGTAAAGCACAACAGATACTGGTAATTGGATACATTTCGGCCTCCTAGTATTTCTCTACATTGATAATATAGCTACTTCTAGACTAGTATGCAGTGGCAACTAGACGGAATAAGACCAACCAGAGGTTGGAGGATGGCCAAAAGGTCTGCGATGTGCATCAAGGTGTAGCCGGGGTTGGCACCGGGTGCGGCACTACTTCCACTGACAGGAGCGAGTTGGGGAGGAAGGCAGTCGGTCCAGTTACGTAGCGCCGGTAGCGACGGTCTGTTGCCACCGCCCACACCCTCGATAGCGGAGAGGGTGGTGAGAGTTCGTTGCAGCAGCGTCTCCACGTGGTCTGTTTGTGCAAGGAGAAAAAAGACTTCTATCGGAGCTGAGATGGCATTCGGCTAGAAGTCAGGTCAAGTCACCCACCCAACAGCTTTCCCCTGTACAGCAACAGCGGACGCATGAGAAGAGGCGTCATCGACCCCAGTGCAATCGTCGGTGCAGTTGTGGATGCAGTCGTAGTGGTGCTGCTCTGAGACACAAAAGCGGAGCAGCTGCGCAGGGTCCGTTTCATCACAGCCGTTCCTTTGATCGTGTTGCCCGAGGTCAGGTCCCACATGAACATCACCAGTGGGTTGACGCGTAATGCTTCGTCAGTCAGGCCTGAGCCCCGATTAGCGCGCACCAGGTGATCAAGGTAGGGTACATATTGCGAAGCTAGGTAACAAAGGCACTCCGCCGAGCGGTTCGATGAGGTACTGGCAGTATCAAGGCAGAGATTGGTCAGGAGGTTGAGACCCGAGTCCTGATGTGACATATATTGACGCGAAGCGAAAGAATGAAAGAGAATGGGTGATAACCAGCCACCGGGATTGGCGGCTGACTCGCAGTGACCAGGCAAGGGAGGAAGTTTGGCTTGCGCCGTCTTGCGCAGCCAGCGGAGGGCGAAGCGAGCACTCAGGGCGAGTTCGCGAGGGGCGGTGGAGGTGATGTGCCTCCTCACGCGTTCTTCAGTCTTCGCCATCTCAACTGCCAGTTGGTAGTGCTCTCTCCAGGTCTAAAAAAGGAAAGGAGGTATGAGGTGGCCCGAGTTCAAGCCCTTTGCATCTGTGATGCGAGGTGGGTGAGTAGAAGCTACGGTTGCGATTGCGACAAATTCACTGAATTTTTTTTGACACACTGCGACAGACTGACCATTCAAAAGTTGATTGAAAAACGAGACGAAATCTACTTTACTTTTCCGAAATATTGCCCCCCTAATTCCTTTATCGAGGTTTACATATAAAAAAGGGTTTAGACACCAAGGTACGAGAACTGCCTACCGAGAAAGACGCAGCCTCATCGCCGCGCATCCAGGCCTCGAAGTTGACCCGGGGAGGACGAAAGTCGGCGACTCCCCTTTCCCACCACCAATTCTTCACATTATCCGGGAGGATGAAGAGGTCACAGAGGAATCGGATACACTCGACGAGGATGGATTCCATCACTGCAACGGGAGGTGCTGCCACCTCTGTCTCCCCATTCATCAATTTCTCCTGCTGTCGCCGCGTCAGTCCGAGGAGGAGACGAAAGACGGTACGCAGACGCGCCTCCTGACAAAAGTAGTCAGCGTCTACGCCACCTACAGATGAAGATAGCTAGGATGAAGGGTTTTAAACTCGCCAATAAAGAGTGGTCGCGTGTCACTGGATTTCAAAATCGCCTGAAACAACTTTGATTAGTGACTTTGAAAGTCCCAGTAACAAAAATAATAAACTGCAAAATCGCAATCTTACAGGGAGGAGTTAGAGCGATGATGGACTTCACGCCCCTTCCCAATGATACGATGTTGAAGTAGCTGGAACGCTCAAACTCGAACATTTCTTTTTCGCATTCTGACAGTGCCAACAGGCGCTCAACAATGTTGTCGCCAAGATGATTAATCTGGTTAAAGAAAGAGAGTAGAGCACACAGAAAGAGAGAAGGTTGCTAATCTGCTGCAGAAAGAAACAAACTCAAGCTCACCAATGCAATCGAGTTGGAGGTAATGTGATTTAGAAATCCGACCAGCCGCATTTGTACCACAGGGCTGAGACTGTGTGCCAGTGGTAGGCCCCTACTAATGCACTCCTTTCGAGCCTCCACAGAGAAGACGGAGGGTGTGAAGGTGCTCGCCATGTTGGTAATCAGACAGATGGCAGCCTCTACACAGCGCAGACACCGATCATCACCACCACGGCTGCTAACAGCAGTGGTAATGGCAGTGTCAGCGCCAGTGACTTCCATCGAGTTAGCGGCACATCGACCGTCATAAATGGAGACTGCCTGACGCAAAGCCCACAGTCGGCAGACCAGTGGAAAAGCCGCCTGCTGCACACGCTCTGCTTCCGACACGCTTTTGATAACACAGTCCCTGGGCCAGAACAACGGCACCAAGACTTCTGGAGTGTATGGCAATGGAGGATGTCCCACAGTGATAGAGCCGAAAAGATGTTTTTGCGCAAGTCCCAGGGCCGCAAGTTGGGTGTTCAACTCCTCCGTTAGACCTACGATCCGTGAAAGCGCCACACGGCGATCCTCCTCATCACGCAGACGACTCACGTGGAATAAATTGGGTCGCGCAAGCATGGAGAAGTTCATAAAATTGTAATTGGAGGAGCCGCACTTAGTACAGAGGAAGACCTCCTCATCACTGAGATTGATGAAGAGGCAGCGAGAGCACTGGTTCCCATTCTGCTTACAGTGTTGACACGTGGAACCCTGGAGGATGGTAACATTGCAACGACAGCAGCGCCGTCGCCTACTACGCCTTTCACCGCCACCCTCAGTATCTCCATCACCCTCCTCTCCTCCTTCCTCCGATCCGTGGAATGCAGCGTAGTGGAAGATAAGACTATTGGCAGTGAGTGGAAGACCTTCAGAGAGTCGAACCTCCACAGTACTGGAGGCATCGGGTGGGGGATCCTGTGTAACCGGTAGGACAATGTCCGCCTCTGCAGCAAGATGAATCAGCACATTGTACTTAGTGGGAGGAATGTCAACTTGCACTAGTCTGCGCCACAGATGCCGTGCCCGCATGAGACGCGAGGGTGGGCACTCAAAAGCGTCTGAAGTGAAAATGTTGAGGGTGCGAACGTTGCGCAGTCCAGGCGCGGGAGCCATGAAACGCACACCAATGCTAGCAATCTCCCACGTATCGAGAAGGGAGAAGATGTGCACATTGGGGGAAACCCAGGTCGGTGGCTCAAGTTCAATCACTGGGGGAGCGGCTGTAGTGGTGGGAGTGGGCTGAATAGGCGTCGCGGTGCCCACCGAAGCGTTAACGGCGGCTGTAGACACAGAAGCTTGAGTATACGTTGCTAAATGGGGGGTGTTGGTAAGTCTACTGTCTGTGCTGTAAGTGGGCATGGGATAGATGCTGGTAACAGCACTTCCTGCGGCACCACTTGTGCTGCCCTGGGCACCACCGCCGCCAGAAGAGGTGGAGGTGTTTCCACGTCGTCTGGAGGGTGTGGAGGAGTTCCACTGGAAAAGGACATAAGGGAGAGATAGCAGGGAGCGGTTGCAAAGGAGACAGGGCTCAGAATCGAAGGGACAGCCAATTAGATTTGAGCTGACCAATCCCGGTAAGTAGGTGGGTATGACGGTGGAGATGAAATTGGGCGGCAAGTGGAGTCCAGCGAACGGTGGGTCATCGGTGTGGTGCGCGATACTGGAGACAAATCCAGACACACTGTGACATTTCTGTCAGAGCAGAGAAAAAAGGGGAGTTAAATAGTGCCGGTGGTGGAACGGGGAAGGCAGGCAGGACGTACAAGAACAGCTTTGTAGATATCGCGCAGTGGGTGCTCCGCGACGGAGTTGATTTGGGAGAGAAGAAGCTCCAAGAGTTGGTTACAGAAGGGCGTGGTGCCTGACCAATTTGGGTGGCGTTTGAAGAGAAAGATGGAGAGAAGAGCTAATTCGTCGCCGTAGAGTGCAAAACTGGGCAGCTCTGACCACAACTTGGGCAGATGCTGCAGCAGGAGCGTGGAAAACGAGTCGTTTTCACTGTACCTTGAGTGACAACAAAATAGAGATTGAAATACCAGTCGAAAGGTCTGAGAACCTCCTTCATACGCCACTTTCTTAGCGACGACTTTAATTATTAATAGTATAAATCCAAGCCAGTCCACCTAACAAGGTGGCTGAAGAGAGCAGGATGAGGTCTACGTTCGGCGGTAGCTCACCAAGCGAGAGCGGTGATGATGAGAGAGGCCGTGCAACGAATCCGCTGATCCGCACGGCAACAGATGTTACCACGGACAAAATTGAGGAGGAAGGCGGAAGGATCCTTGATCCTACCCTCACCATCGGGTACGAGTAGGCGACTCAACATATTAACGAGCTTGGTGGCGTAGCTGGTGGTGGCAGGGCATCCACTTGTCGCCGTCGCCGCTGTTTTCGTAGCTGATGACGAAGACCCCCCACGGAAAGTGGTCTAAAGAGTGGTACAAACATCAAAAGAAAAAGTGACATCTCTTGCCAATAAACCACAAAGACAGCCAGCTTTCAGAAGGAAGTGACAGCATAGAGTGTTCAAACACAACCAAATACTCCCGCTTCAACCTCTTGGGCTAACTTTAAATATTCCCCCCCAAATCATCGCACATTCAGTAGAGTGGATTAGAAAGAAGAAATTGACAACACCAGAATCGGGTGAATAAAACAAAGCGAAAGATGTCCTACCATGCCCAATTTGGCCTGCTTGGCGTCCGGAAGGATGGCCACAAGGACCAGAGTCAAGAGACCAAGCGCCAGGACATCGCGAACACGAAGACTCGCTTCCAGCATGAAGACCAGGTCGTCTAAACAGAGTCGGATACACGGAAATAGAGGTTTAGAATGCGAGATGGAGAGGGTAAGAAGAGGAGACGAGACCCACTTACCCGATTTCCTAATGCACAGGCGTTGCCACGAGGAACGGTCAGAGAGTGCGACATCAAGACACGTGTTGATGCAATTGAGCTGATGAACCAAAGAGAAGAACGCGAAGTTAATGTTTCGATTAACTAGGGAAAGAAAAGTTGAACAGGCCAAACTTACCATGAGACACTCGCTAGGATAAGAAAGAGGAAGCAGGTAGGAAAGGGCAGTATAGGCGTTGTCCTCCTGCTCCATGCTCGTCTTGTACACGCCACGCATTCGAATAAGCGCCTGGCTCAAAAGATGGATATCTTTCAACTGACGGTAATGCTTCTGCCCCACCAGGTATATCAGCAGCTGTAAAGGGAGAAAAAGCGCGTGCCCATGAAATTTTATAATTCAGTCCAATTTTTCTAGGACGCCTGGACCTTCAAGGGCGGTAACTCGACAAAAAATCAACGATACGCCACAAGAGAAGCTTACTGAACGCATGAGTCCCACCAGCCGACCAATGATTGACACACTTGAGTCAATTTTTGAGGAGGAAGTGGCTGTTGCTGTTGTGGATACTGAGTCGGTGAAAGAGGAAGACTCAGAAGTGAGGGACTCCAGGAGGTTGTACACCACTGCGCACCACCTCTTTTTTATTTCCTCGTATTCACCACTGCTCTCCCTCTTCGCCCCTCCAGTGCGGACACAAGTGAAGAGAGCAATGGCTAGTCGGACAGCGGCCTCGGTGAGTTGAAGATCGAAGTCGACGTGAAGCGGAGCGTGAAGGTGCACCAAAGAGGCTTGAGCATCCAGGATAGGTGCACAGTTGGTCAGTCCCGCGCCAAAGCCGTTGGTGAGGCTGGAGAAGTTGATACCGCGAGCGCATTGAAGAAGGCCAGCTGTGAGGTGGGGTAGATTAAACGTACCGCTAGTGCGATAGCCTCGGCGGCCTGATGTGGTGGTGACTAAAGCGCTGGAGGACATGTTCTCACCAAAGTGCCACTACGAAAGGTAGAAGTATGCTACTTACGGACACCAGTGACATCAGATGGGACCACAAACTATAAAGGGGGTAAACGTACGTTATGACTCTTCTCCCACTTCGCTGAGAGGCCCTCAACGATGCCCAAACAGGCGTCCATGCACTTGGAGAAGAAACTTTCGCTCGAGTCAAGACCAGCAAGTCCACTGAGGACCGTCTTACCAACTAGGAGGGCAGTGGGTGAGGCTGTAATGTGCTCCTCGCTTCCACCGCTGCCGCCATCTTCATGGTTCTTGTCATTGTCAACAGCAGCCGACGCAGACGAGACGCAGAGAACGTGAGACAGTAGGCTGATCACAAGGAGAAGACGCTCGGAGCGTAGCGTGGGTTTCAACGGGGTAGTTCGTGAGGTTTCAGGCTGTTGGTAGTGATGGTGAAGGCGAAGGAGGCTGTTTGTTAGCGTTGTCACAAGATCTGCCAAAGTGGTCCTGCAGCAAAAAGGGACAGGTAGCGCGGTCAAAAGGCCACGAACAGGAAAAGACTTTCGTGGGACTCCATTTTCTGCAAATGTCGAGATAAAACGTCTCTATACAATGGATTTGAGTTATGGGTACAATATTAATCGGAAAAGGTTCGCAATTGTTAAGGATTTCATTCCTAGAACAATTCGTTTATAAGTAGGAAAATCAACCTGATTAAGTGGTGGGTAAAAAGAATCGAACATTAATAATAAATTCAGCGAACCTTGCTGCATCAGCCGTTTCCTTCAAATCTTCCTCAGGCTCCGGTAGTCCCGAGCACTGCGCGATAGCCTCCAGCAGTCTGCAAAGCGTGAAGGTGGTCTGCATCAGAGGCATCAGTCGTTTGCTATCTTCCGACTCTGCTACCGCCTCCTCTCCGTCACCCACATCTACCACCCTCGCCCACACAGTCACGAGGTGGCGTGTGAGAGCAATGCAGGCCCGGGCCGCTGATAGACTCTGCCGATCGCGTGGTAGGAAGCTCCAGGTACCACTTGGAGGGTCAGGTGGTGGACTTGAAGGTGGAGTAGAGCCACCACCACCATCACCGCCATCATCTTCCCCATCACTACTACCGTCGTCCTTATCATTCTTATCGCTTCCATCGTCGTCGCCGTTGTAGCTCGAGGAACCCATGTGGGAAGAGAAGCTCCAACTAGCCAGAAGTCGAGGGAGGAATGGCTTGGTAATCGCTGATGGAGGGCTAGGCAAGGAGAAGACTATTGGTAAACTAACCTCGCGCAAGAACTGGTAGGAGTGCTGGGGAGGACGGCAGGAGGGACATCCATGTCTTCGAAGAGGTCAAGCAGCAGACCCTCGGAGAGCGGGCTGCCTAATGACTCCTTGCTAGTCTTTCGGCCTGACAAAGAGGGAGATAGGGAGGGAAGAGAGATGAGTCAGCCCTAACAGATGCCAATAAACAGTCTGGTACTAAAATGGTAGTGAGTATGAGTACCAAAATAGACCAAAACCTCAACTAAGGTGGTAGATGGTGGTGAAAAGCGCCAGACACATTTAGTCACCCCAAAAGGTCAAAGTGAGAAGGTAATATCGTCTACCACTCACCAACTTCATTTTCGGTGCTGTTTGACGGAAGAACTTGGGTCTAAAAATGAGGAATATAAGAAAAAAAACACAAGTTTCTTTTCCGGGCAATCGAGCAACCAAACTATAGCAACTCAACTCACCCAAACCGTTGATTTAGCTGCCGGAGTCGCTACGGCATCCGTTGAATTTGAGGCATTCGTCGTTGCCAGGGTTGTTAGTGGTGATTCATCTGTGGCCTGAAAGGTAAAAAAGCCGCGAAAGTGGTGGGGTGGGAACAAAAGTCTTTTACAACAAGCCTAAAGAGGAAGCGAGTATTACTTAAGAGCCAGCACTCACTGTAAAAGCTAGATAGACCTGGATTACACAAAAAGTGGATAATATCAAAATTTGGAGTGGTTTGAATACACCATGAATGGGTGAAGCAGAAGCTTACCTGCGGAGAAACTCGGAATTGAGCCGCCTGCTCTTCCAGCAAAGCGGCAGTGCCTGGACCGCCCTGATCGCGAATGCTTCGTTGAAGGGCTAGATTAAGGATCTGAGCACGCGAACACATTGCCCATTAACATCAGTAACACAAAGGCAAAGGCTACCTTCAACAACAACTAAGTAAAAAGCGCACCACGTCCTCATCGATATGTTCCAGAAAAGCAGTATCAAAGAGACCCGACTCGTGGGACAACGTATCATTTCCACTGGAGCTACTTCCACCGCCACCTTCGTTATCACGGGAGATGACATGAGGCCGCGACGTGCCGGATGACTGTGGTGCATCCACTGTCTCCTGAACCGAGTTGCCCGCTGCTTTCGAGTCCGCAGGATGAGTGGAGAGCAAGTCTACCACGTATTGGAAAATGTCTACAAGGGCAGGAGAGGTGAAATGACATAAATGAAATGGACGAACTTACCTCTAGCCATGTCTGCGGTATGCTCATCGTCACCGTCGTCAGCAGCTTGAGTAGGCTCGATTTCACCCTCGCTGTTGCCACTCTTACCTTCACCGTTACCCTCAGTGCATTCATCATCATCATCGTTATCGTCATCACCATCACCTTCATCGTTATCTTCTTCAGTAGTCTCCACCACCTCCTCGCCACCTGCATTTTCAACGTTACCCTCGTTTTCATTGGCTCTGTTTCCCTCTGTGCCATCGTCATCATCAAACAACCCATATTTACGCGCCGAATCAGCTTCGTATCCATCTTGACTATTACCTACCTCGTCATGCTGATGCTGAATATCTTCCTCGAATTCACTTAACTCGTCCATGAAACGCTGCGGAAAAGGAAAATGCATATTTAGCTACGCAAGATATTCCAGTCTTCCGCAGTTCGGCCACCAAGCCCTACTGCCCAGATGCTAACCTCTCAGATCCCCGCAAAAGCATACTTTAGACTGGTAAACCCCATAACATCTCCGGACGTAACCCAGAGGCTCTGAAGAAACAAAGGTCCCAATTTAGTTGACTGGACAACACAGAGGAAAAAACCCAATGCTATCTATACCAATCTATGCAGTGATGGTAGGGAAAACAGGCACTCACAATCGGATCATTAGCACCAAGTACGACGGTCGCTGACGGTCTACCCCTTCGGCGCGACCCAAAGCTGCGCCTTATTTCGTCCACAGCCTCTCGCAACGACTGGTAGCGGGAAAGTGCACCATCCCACCTGTGGCGCAGTGATTCGTCCGTGCTTCCGGCACCTCCCTGGTTATCTTCCTCTTCCTCATCATCATCGGCATCATTCCCTAAGATGTTTGTCGCTGACGCGATGAACTGGAGCATCTCATTGAGAGTTCGACCGATCTCTTCTATGTTTCCGTCGTCCACCTCACCACCACCATCACCAGCGCTGTTCTCGCTATTGTTGACGGAAGAGGTGACAAAAGGGGAGGAACCGAGATTGCTCTGCCTTTTCGGCACAACGCGGGGACAGCGGATGCGCCGTAAACGGAAGGTGCTGATCGAGGTAGTGTTTTTTGAACCACCACTGCCTTCATTACCACCGAGAGTACCAACATCGTCGTCATCATTAACGTTGTTAGTCGAGCCTTTTCGGGAGTTCTCTTCTTCCTCCTTCTTCTCACTAGATGCAGAAGTTTTTGGAGGTTGGGAAGATAAAGATGGACCCGAGCGTGAGGGGAAGGGAGAATAGTAAAAGAGATGCTTGGCAATTCGACAGTTGCCAGTAAACAGACAGACCAGGGTGCTGCAGAGGAGGTCTCTCGTGTTGCAAGCAATTTGGGACTGCTTATGAGTCAAAAGACGAACAATGAGGTCACCCAACACAGGGACCGACGAGGAGGGCGTAGAAGAGTTGTCGCAGCACGACTCTGCCAACACAAAAACGGCCACTTTCAAGAGGTCCTGAAGCAGTTTTACCCAGAGACTATTCAGCTGCGTAAACATATTTGGAAGCAGTACTTCCTCTTCTGAGAATAAGAGGTGTTCCTGTAGAGCAGTGAAAAGTTGGATAGTGAGGTCATTCGAGGCACTTGCGTTTACTCCGCCACCGTACTCGTGAGCCAGCTGCCAGACACGGGAGAATTGGGCAAGGCAAGAAGTAGAGGCGAAGAGGCGCGAAGGGGTAGTAGCGGAAGAGGTGAAAACTTTGAGAAAATCCGAGATGAGAGAGCCAAGAATGGTGCGAGGGGCGATGAGAGAGGCAGTGGAGTCTTCGTTACCACAAGAGGCGTGGAGGCGGATGAGGTCGGTGACGGTGCACATAGTGGTGCTATTAGGATGCACGAATGCCTCCAAAAGGAATTTGGTCAATGCAGGAGTAAGGAAGGGTTGGAGTTCTTCAAGACTGAACTTTGTGGGTTCCTAAAGGGCAGAGAATGTAGGGGCGTGTTGTTTTTAAAGCGAAAAGAAGTCTAAAATGTTACCACCGGATAAATCCTTTTGGTTTCTCGTTGTTCATGGATGCATCGAAATTAAATCGTTATCAGTACCAAACATAGTTTAGTACCAGGGGAAAAAAGAAGAAATTAAGTGTCGCAAGGCACTGGAACTTCCAACGCAAGCAAAATCAAAGAGAACAAATTGGCGAATCAGCAGCAAAAACTGCAACCATCGACTTCAACAGGCGGGAATATGAATTGCTCAAAACAAATTTGTAAAAAAAGTCGCTCCCCCTCAATTGTCTTCGTCCATCAAAGGAGTGGAATCGCATCGTCTGTATTGCCAGAACCTAGTCGGATGAACTAGGTAGACAGCTGGGCAGATTGCTATTAGCAGATGTGTGGAAAGGAAAAAAGAATCCAAGAAAACTCGCTCTAGGATCGATTGAACACGGCACTTGAGGTGAAGTGAGTCCTGCTGCCTATTAGGCATTAGAAATTCACCAAAGCAGAAAGGACCGGCATTAATTCATTGAAAAAATGAGACCGGAAATTTACCTGAGCAACAACGATTGCCGACTGGAAGAAGTCAGTGATAGTGGCTACTACACAAGAGCCGAGATCTCCCACATTATCGTATAGCGGTGTGGTGAATTCACAGAGACCCTCTCTGGCCTGGGTCAGTGGAGTCGCGATGCTCGTCACAAAGCCCGACATCATCAGACGGTCAAACCACTTCACCAGGGAGGTATTGTAGCGAGCGACTGTGGAGGGAAAGGCGACAACAAACGGTAAGGTCTACGACGATGCCAGATCCAAGCTAGATGGAAGGCAAGAGGTGTACTTACCTCGAGCCTCCTTGTTGCTTAAACGCAGCATCAGTTCCTGCATGTTGACGGCTTGCTGGTTCTGAGTGTTGACGCTATCATGGGAGACTAGGAGAGAGGGGTCGATAAGCGACCGAGGCACAGTGTAGACAAGAATACGATCGATGCTGGTAAGCGTGTCCGAGTGCTGGCTTTGCCCAACTGAAATGAACAACCACTATAAAGACGGGGCAGAACCACAGATATACATATAGATTAGCGAAAAGTGCGCATTTAAGACACGTATCCCCGCCGAGACTACACTGTAATGAACTATTCATGAGTTTTAACTGCTGAGCTTACAAATTTGTTTCACGGACAGTTTTGCAAAAATTGCCAAAATTCTAGACAAAAAATCCCAAGAAGGGTAAAAAACTTCACTCCCACATTCCATGGAAATGGTTAAGCCAGGAAGAGGAGTAGTTTGGATGTAGAGCACTATGAATGTCAAGTTAACAGGGCCATGAGAAAGGTGAAAAAAGAACCTGAGGACCGAATTCATGAGAAAAAAAGGGAAAATACTCACCATACAACCGAATTGGTTCCAATTCCTTTGTTGGGTTTTCCTCGGAACCCACCTGTAGTATTTCCGACAACTTGAGAGACAAATCCACAAACATCAACTGTCTCTTCTTGCTGCTTTTCTTATCTGAGTCAAGACTGAAGACACGGTTGCAGACCTGTGATGAAAGGAAACAACATTGCAATCAATGTGGTTTTGCTTTGAGAGCCGGTCCCTCCCTCACTCAACGACGGATGCCACTTACCGAGAGGAATTGCGGGCGACACGTATCGGTCAGCTCTACCCGCAGACCCACGATTACCTCCTGCGTGGGCCTTGTGACCTCAATATCGATCACGAAAGCGACACCGTTCGGTTTGACGCCCTGCGGGGGGGAAGCAAGACTGCGACCCGAAAAAGTCACCGGCATACCCTCTCGCTTTAGGCGCTGATTCAGGGTCTCGTGGTTGTAGATGCTCATGAGGTCACGGCTGTAGAAGTTCACCTAGAAAACGAAGCCGAAAATTGGATCATCACAACACCAGTGGCAACCTAACCACATACATTTTCGCTAATCGAGGCCCACTCATGAAAATCACAGAAGGGTGGCTGAGGACCAGTTTCACTTTTTTCCAAAATGATTCTCAATGCAGGCAGAGCGCTCAATGCGTAACTGGCGAAGTCGCGAATGGTCGCAGCCTCGGGTTTGAGGAAAGTGGAGGCCATACTATTGGTGGAGACGTCCCAAAGAAGGAGATCTTCCAACAGCATCGGGATCTTCGGAGTCTTGGCTTTGAAGTTTGACTGTGGCTCCCGGTACAGCAGGGCCGGTTGCAGCCAGAACTGACCAGGCAGTGTGGGAAGGAGGTTGTGTTTAGAGGCAAAAGTGATTTTCTCTGCTTGGCTGGGGGAAGATGAATCATTCGGAGTTGTGTCAATTATTCGAGATCTGAAGAGGTGAAAAAATTAGGGCCGAATGAAGTTTCAGTGTTGAAAGGGTGGATGAATGAAGCGGATGTACTCAGGAGGGCCGACAAGCACTTGAACGGAACTACTTCGTGAGATTTGAAGGGTAAAGAGGCGGGGCTCATGGCTTTGATTGCCGCTCCAGTATCGTGTTACAGAGGCGGCTACAAGTGAGGGGGCCGAGCTTTCACCTAAGAGAAGCGAGAAAAAACAGTGCAAATTCAGAGATGGGGAGATCCAGAAGGGAAGGGGGAGGTAGGAATACCTCCAACGTTGCCCTCAGGCTTCGAAGAAGCAACGGAGACGGGCGCATTTGCCTCATCCGTTGATTTGGAGAGGGGCTTTTGGGCCTCCAGAGGCAGTGGTTGTATCCAAACTGTGTCCGGTTCCACCGCGATCATTAGATTACGACGTAAGCTATGGGTCCCACTACCTGTGGTGGTGGTTTCAGTTGCTGTGGCTGTGAGGACGCCCGAGTGATTGACCACCTCCGCCCAATCATGCAGCGGACCGCTCCAGGTTGCATTATTCGTCTGGTCCTTCGGTTGCGGCAGTCTGAAAGACCAAATAATTTTCAGTAGAAAAAAGAAACAAGGTGAAGCCTGGATTGAATTAGTAACAATAGAACTAAGAGTACTGGAGTTAGCAAGTAGACAAATATCACTTACGACGATGAGGCTGGAGTGGAGCCAGAGCTAGAAGAGGCCTTGGCTCCAGTGAGGAGGAATGAGTGGTTCACCCTTACTGTTCCATCGTCCGAAAAGTCGACAGCAGTAGCAAAAGTGTGACCGGAGTTGTAGGAGTGCAAGAGGAGGTGAAGACTGGGAGCGTAGAAGACACTGGCTCCTCCCTCGGCCATGGTGCCGGTACTGGAATTGCGCAGCGAATCGAGTGACAGTGCGCTGGCCCCCGTGTCAGCGAGTTCACACAGACCGGCACTCTCCCAATCGAGGCTCTCTGCCAGGTAGAAGTGGCCCTGGCTCACGCGTGTAGTGAGCAGTAGGCGCTGGATAATGAGGTTCAATCAGAATTACTCAGTGATGATGCATACTACTTATTAGAAGTTGCCGGCAGATAGCAGATGGACAGCAAGTTACCCATTACTCGTTTGCAATAGTTGGTGAGTGATGAAAATAAAGATTGGTGTTAAATTCAGAAGCTTTCAGTGCCCTCAAGTTCAGCTGCTTTCAGTGGAGATACAAAGTGGTGAATGGATGTTGGGATCACGAACGGACAATAGGGAAAATTATACCACCGACTGAGCATAATTAGTGGATTATAGGAAGACTTTTAATTCCTCAAATGCAAGGCAGCATCCGGCTCGACAGCCTTTGATCCCACCTGACTTGACCCCTTTTGGTGCCCGCATAATACTACTTAATTACGCGATTTGTGCGCCTCGAGACCGCGAATAAACTATTGTCTTCGTGCTAAGGTACAAGGCCGCAATAAGCCAAAATGCAAACCAGCATCAGACTTGATGGCATTTGAAGCTGTCAAAGTCGGTGGGTACGCTATGCAATCACGTTTGTACTAAGTCTTAAATCGACACCAACTCGCTACTGATTAATGCCTCAGTAGCATACAATCTGGTTTAATTAAGAAGAGTGGAGGAGAAAAGTTCCGACCACCCTACCTGTAGCATCATGGAACCAAACGTGGCCATAACAACCAGAATGACGTCAGAGAAATGGTACTTGTCAATAGTGGATTCGGTTGGATTCCTGCTGCTGGTGACCCCCTTGCGCCGCCTTGGAGCGTGGATGAAGGTGGCATCAACGAAGTTGCCCTCCACCGGCTTGAAGTAGTAGAGCAGTTTGGGCGAATTGGTGAAGATATCGAAGATCTAAAAAGGGGAAGGGGGGAAGGCAACATCAAAATAGCAGGAGTACGGAAACAGGGAGCATGTTCCGCCAGTAGTCAACGTGATTTCATCACATTCGGCTCCACGATTAATGTTTTCAGAAAGCGTGATCAGCACGCAAACTGCTCGCAATGTTGAACGTGGTTCAGCTTTTGCAATCACTTCTCGACCGAATGAGCCATTTTCAACTTGGGAATAGAGGGTCTGTAGATGAGAACCTCCTCGTAGAGATACAATTTAATGCCACCCTAAGACCAAGCAAGATTCTCTCGGCTCCCACACATTACAGCGTAACTCAAGGCAGAAAGCAGGCTTACCTGCACCGATTTCGTGGTCAGCAGTGCAATGAACCGCGACGACCCCGGCAACCAGATTGGCTTAATCACGAATTCATCTTTGCTTTCTATTAGCGGGTTGATAAGCAACCGTCCACAGACCTGGCCCAAAGTCGAGAGGCCAAACACCACACACATCTGCTGATTGCTTGCTGTGAACACTGCCTCATTTGTCGGATGCACTGCCAGTCGCGTGACCTCGAAACCACAATTGACTTTGCTTACTCGTGGAAGGGAGGAGAGGCGGACCACAAAGCTCCGCAGCCTCGATGAGGGGAGGGTGTCGCGCGCTGCTTCAGGCGCAATCCTCACAGCACCCTCCACACTCTCCTGACACGCTGCTGCAGTAGTAAAGAGGTCATCCACTTGGAAGACGCTCACTGAGCCCTCCTCACGAGACCGGGACGCGGGGGAGGGCAAGGGCAGTGCCATTGCGATGAGAAGGTAGTGTCGCCACCCACACACTGAGGGAACTCGGGCGAGAGTTGCGATGGCATCGTTAGCGCTGGCGTTATCAGTTCGCCCTTCAATGGCATTTGACCCTGGCGGCATTGATGATGAGGGGGCAGCAGAACTATCGAACAAGTGGTGGCTACGCCGAGGCGCAAAGACATCAGCGATCCAATGGTGCAGGGAGTTAAGGTCAGTGGCGGTTCTACGCTGGCGACCACCGGTGATAGTGGAGTCGAGAGCAGGGAACACGGATGAGAGGAGGTTTGGTGTCACGACCGAGGTGACGGATGGTGATGGTATAGGTGACGCAGGTAACGGCAAAAGCAGTTGGAAGACCTCGTTTGCCGCGGCCGTGGACTCCGTATCAAAGAATAGCAGAGGGGTCTGAAGAAAAACGAACAGGCAGAAAATGTGTCGGTTTCTTTTGCAGTGTTTAAGGCACAACGTACCACGAGACGCAAAGAGATGATAACTCGGTGAGGAGATTTACGATTGGCCGAAGTGAGATGTTGAATGGCGGAGAAGCGTAGGTTTTCCGGTTCTGCTACGCGCTTGAAAACATCTGCAAAAGATGCTATTGCAGAGTGTAGCAAGGGGGTGAGTTCCTCCCTCAGGAGGTTACAGGCCCCTCGAAAGATCGCTGGCGACCTTATTATGTTTAAAATATGTCCCCGTTCATATTTGTTCAACTAGAACGTATGACGAGAAAGAGATTAAATAAAGAGAGCGTTTTTTTACGAATGAGAAAACAAAAACAACCTGACTGCGAAGACGTTTGACGATGGGTTCAAAGAAAGGCTGCGGCCTGTGCCCGAATTTGCGTTGGAAGTTTTCAACAGCTCGTCGTCTAGGGGCCGCGGAATCCAAAGCCCAAAGATTGAACTTCTTCCTCCATCCCTCTTCACCACCGAGACCATAAATGACCGAGAGGCAAGGAACAAGATCGATTGGAGGCTGAGAAACGGTGGAGGCAGCACTAACGGGGGCACCACCACCACCACCACCTTCACGAGAGGTGGACTTGGAGGCAACTAGGCCCGGACGTCGGCGGAGAGCACCTGCGCGACGGATCCGATGGATGATGTTGGCATCGCTAGAGCCCGACTCGGCGGTTATCCATTCGCTGTTGCGAGGGGGCAGAGCGGGAGCAGCAGTGGCGGTGGTAGTAGCGGGGGTGACGGAGGAGGAGCAGGCAGAGACCATGGGAGTAGCCGTGTTGCTGGTATTTGTCGCCGAGGCGATGGTAGAGAGAGGATTAAGAGGCGTGGCGGCTGAGGTGGCCTCAACACTGGCGGAGGGGAGGCGGTACGCGGCTTTAGCAATCAGGTCACAGGCTTTGTCGTAGACAGATGGCTGGAAGCAGGTGACTGGGGAAATGAGCAAGGGAACGAAAAATGTATATTTAGCTTTGAAGAGAGGCTGAGGAGGTTTGAACAATGCTTCACCAACGTCATCAGGGGTCGCAAGCCTTTGCTAGGTCATCAATACTACATTTCAGAAAGCAATTTTGTTGAGGCAACAAATAAGACAGAAGTCTGTAACCTTATTTTTAATTGCATATCCCGGCATGAAACTAGTGCAGCAGTACAGATAGACGAAGAAGTAAAAGCACAAGGGTTGTTAACTTGGAAGGGTGGGGAGTTAAAACAACAACTTGTACTCACCATTCGTCCAAGGCAAGAGATTCTCAAGCAGCCCATCACCACCACCCGCCACTCTCCTCATCATCGAGTGACACTTCCCCACCTGTCCCATCTCAGTTGCGCAGTCACAGAAAAACTCGCTGGTGTTCTGATACACCAGATCGTGTCCACGGTGGCATACCCTCGCACAGAGGTGGCAGGACCCGCGATTGGTAACAATCCCACAGGTGTTACATCCATACCATGGCTGACGGATATAGTGGTGTTGGGTGGAGGCGAAAGTGCAGACCTCCTCGCAGGCCCGTTCCAAGGGGGGGGAGGCGGACAGGTGGAAAGGAAGAGTAGAAAGGAGGCGAGGAACCACGGTGTTTCTACCTACTGCTGGTCCACAGAGCGCATGGAGGAGACAGTTGTCTAGAGCCGAGTTCCACCCACTCCCAAGAAGCATGTGGTAGCAACCATCATCATCAGTAGAGAGATGAGTGAAAAAGCCAAAGAATTTTGCCAAATCTAAGTTCTGGAAACCACGAACTGCAGCGCGATTTCGATTCTCAGTGTAGTGAGAATCTGGAAGCGCCAGGCTGTCGCTATCAACTGGTGCGGAGGATGCAAAGGCGCGTAGGAGGAGGCCGAAGTAATCGTAGATGGCGCAAAGGGTGAGGAGGAGACTTTTCTGCGGATAAAATAAGTTGAGCATTAGACATACGAAAATATAAAGTGCAGGCTAGTATACATCATCGTCTCCGCACTTTTGTTTCAACGCATTCCTCTACCGCCAAACGGGTCTGCCCCCGTTCGGCCCAGCAGGCCAAAATCTCGGCGAAACGGAGATGAGCCGAGGCCGACGCGTTCCATGCAGTTAAAAGGAGACAACGCATGCCAGAAACGATGAAATAACCCCTGATTGGACATTCACACTCGTACGGCTTTATAGCCCATAGTAGGATCTCCAGACACAGCTCTTTAGTTTCGTCCGCACCCGCCCAAGGTGCAGCAATGAGGCGAAGCATGCGCTCCACAAAGATGCAGTAGCGCTGGGATAGGGTACCCTCCCTGTTATCAAGCACAGAGGAGACTGCATTGGCAATCACTTTATCGTCCAGTGCTATTTGAAGGGCTTGTTTCGCCGCAGTGGTATACAGCTCGACGCTGGAAGGGGGATTGGTGGCTGTGGAGAAAAAGAAAGACAGTGTGATGCATGAGGTGGCACAGGAGTGCTCCACACCACAAGACACCCACCTCTAAGGAGAAACAAGCAGAAGAGACGTAGGTACTCAACCAAAACGGGATTGGAGTAGAGGCCTTTAAAAAGAGGCAGATCACCACTGGCAAAGCGTCTGAGTACACGAGGAAGACCAGTGGCTGCTTCCAGATAGGCGAAGATCTCTGCCCGCAAGTGTTTTGAGGTAACATTCACCGCGCCAAAAACGAGTGTATCGAGAACTAAGTCTTCCGTTGTACGTGTTAGCACCATCTCAGTGCGTACATTCTTGATATAGGCGGCATAGTAATGCTGTACACCGGAGAGATCAATGCCAAGACTAAATACGAGAGGATTAAGTTGTAGGCGTGAGAGATTAGTCAGAGTCGTCTTCTTCTCCTCCACGGAGATTGAGCGAAACACAGAGGCCACAGAACCTCGAGGGATCTGAACTATAGCTTCTGCAAACAGTGCGGTCTCTTTGAGCAAACAGCCAATTAAGATCGATCGGGGAGTGGAGGCGCTTTCCACGGAAGCGTTGGTAAGGCGGTTGAAAGCGACCTGTGAAAGGGTGTCTGTTTCCGATATCTACAGACAAAAACACCAGACATCAAGATTGAGTGCCCAAGAGAGTTAACGATAAAAAAATGAGGTGCTAGGAGAGCTTACAGGCCAGTCCCAAAGACCATTTTCACGGACAAGTTTGTTCCAAGCATAAAGTCGGGCTCCTTCTG